AGAAGATGAGGAAGTCCTGGTAGCATGTCTCCATTTGAGCTAGGAGATCTGAGGTGGGACTGGTTCAGTGGCACAAGGGTAGCCTTATGGCTTTGGCACAGCCTCTGTCATCCAGGCCTATCGAGACAAATTTTGGGCCCCTGTACATCATGTTTGTTGTGGCCCCAACCGTCCCTTTTCACCCCAGTTGCAGATTGTTTGAGGGGCCTCAGTACAATTGTCCGCCCCCTTTCCTCACAGCATATCCGCCCTGCTGACATCTGCGGGTTCTGGGAACAGAATAGGAACTGCCCTCGCATCCCCCGGCTCCATTTTTTTCTCCATGGATAAAATCCTGTTCTCCCAAAAGAGCAATCGGGACAACTTTGCAACAGCTGGCATCTGAGCTATACAGGTGGTGTGCATCCCTTTTGTGGCCTCCTCAGATCCTAGCCCTAGTCCCAGCCCCTGCTCTGTAGATCTAAATGAATGGTGTTGCATGTGAAGCTCACATCATCTGTAGAAGAGAGAGGGACAGTATTTTCCCTTGTGTGTGCAAATTCTGTTAACATTTATGGGAGGTCATACGTACATCAAAGGGAGAACTGAATCTAAATCCTAAAATAATCCCTAATTCACTGTTCAGTGTGCCCGAAGAGCAGGTAGGTGTCTTCCCATTCCTCACTAAACCCAGGTCCTGCAAATCTTCTGAAATCTATCAATTTCGTTTTCATAGAGAAAACCCTCTGAGAGTTTTCAAAGCTGCAAATTGTGTACAATGCTCCTGCTGAGTTGTGCTCTAAGGCAAGATGGGAATTGACCTATGTGGCTTTCAGTTGAAGGGATGGAATATTACTTGCCTGTTCGCAAGGTTCTATGTTGGATCTACAAGAGAACAAGTATCTTTTTAATTAAAATTAAAAAGCTTGGTATATTAAGTTTGGTACAAGAGGGCATGTTATCAACCTAAATTTACCAATTAAGAGTCATATTCTTCTCTCGGACAATATTAATAGTAAAAATAATACTTTTATAGATGTGCATACTAGCTTCCATTAAAGTTGGTAGTTCATGGGAGGACTGACTGGCCACTTCAGGTCAGAATTTGATTTTATATGTCCTAATAATGAGAGGAAAATTGAGTAGCTATTTTGTGCCTGCAGAAAGTTAACAACATGAGATTGAAAAGTTTTTTAAAAAAGAATTTAAAAATTGACTGGAGAGTTAAAAAGAATGTGAAGAGGGAGAGTGGTGCTTCCACAGTTTGCTTCCCCACTCCACCGAAGCCTAGGCAAGCCCTTCTATGGCAATAATGCAGGATCCTGGCTAGAAAACTCTTGATCATGCCAGGGTGGGACCAGGAACAGCCACCGCCTGTAACCCAGTGAATATTGGCACATAAGTTAATGTGGCCCCTTGCAGCATTCACTTTTGTGCCATGCCTGTAGTTTCCTCGTCACTTTGGAGAGGACTTTTTGATTTCACAGGCACAATCAAGAGAGCCAGTGATAAGCACTGCTCCTTAAAGACCCAAACTGTTGATGGGATCATGGAGCAATGTGTAGGAGTAGCTCCTTTGTGGAGCCAGAGCTTTCTTTTCTAGAGATTCCTTCAGTAATATGTAATGATCTAATACCTCGGAACACTGGTCTGAATTAATATCTCTGATTTTAAGCCAGTGTTTCTCAATTTGTCAGTGTAATTACTCCTGATTTACATAGATTCAAAATCAAGTCCAGATTGACAGACTTGACCTTGGATTTTCTTGCTTTTTTGTCTTGTATGATTGGAGACAAAATAATCATAAGGGATCTATAGAGTAATGATTTATCCTAATACATCATGAGCAGGCTTGGAAGGATTGATTTTTATTGGTAAATGCTGGTAAATGTTGATTTCACTGTACACACACACAATCGCGAAAAAATATATTTGTTAATAAAAATTTACAGATAGGCAAAATAAGAAAAATGCTGCTTGCAAACTTACTGGAGTTTGATTTAAGGATATTTACTTTGTATATTTTGACGTGATGTTGTCAGCCCATTTGTGTTTTAAGGATGACAAAGCTTTAACTTTTTGAATCTTCTAGTTTATTGTAATTAAATAATTATTGTCTAACACCCCTTAATTTCCCAAAATTGTGAATATTGAAATTAATAAAAATAGTGAAAAAAGTTTAAAAATAAACATCAATATTAACTGTTGAAATTATGAAAAAAATAAAAATTGAATTTTGTCAAGACTAATAATGGGATATTGTTGCATAAATCAACTTCATGCCCTACCGTTCCTTCTCATGGTAAAGTCAATAGTGGAAGGGATAATGAACTCAGAAAACTTGGCAGAATTTTTCTCAATGCTTCCTACATGTGAAAGCGTGCTGGGTGCCAAGAGGTGAAGACACTATACTTTGCCTGTCTCTCTGACTACCTTTTCCCCCTTCATCTTCAAACTCATAGAATGTGCAGTCTACAATCTTTACCCCGAGTTCCTCTCCCCCAACTTTGTCTTGGATCCCTCTCAAACCAGACTTCTGTCCTCTCCATTCGACCGAAACTGTATCAAGGTCTCTTATGACTTCTTCCTATTCAAATCTCAGGGTCTCCGCTTCATTCTCATTTTCCTTGACCTCTCGGCTGCATTTTGATACTGCTGACCACTCCCTCCTGCTTGAGATGTTGACCCTTCTTGCCCTATTGAAGTACCGGGTTGTTTGCCACATCTCTGGCTGTACAGTGTGTCTCTTTTGTTTGGTAGTTTTCCCCTTCATCACTTTCCAATGGGAGTTCCCACAGGCTCTGTCCTAGACCCTCTCTTCACTCCAAGCTCACTATCTAAGGGTAACCTTATCTACTCACATGGCTTTAACTACCACTTCTGCATCCATGAATAGCCGCAAAACTACCTCTCCACTTCTGGCCTGTCTTTGTTCAATCTCACATCTCAGCCTATTTCTCTGACATCTCCTCCTGAATGTCTCACCCTCCACTTTATGCTCATCTCAGTCAAAATTGGACTCCTGATCTTCTCTCATGAGATAAATAAGTGAAGTAGGTAAATAGATGCCTTAGTCAGGTAGTTTCCTAATGATATAAAAGCAGTGTGGCTTCAGGAAGAATCTATATGAGGGGATGATGAGAAGGGCTTTGTGGAGCACCTCAGGAAGTGCATCCAATGCATAGGGTGTTAAGAAAGAAAGCATTGAGATGGTTGTGGGAGAAGTGGACAAGCAAGATGTGGCATCATTGGAGAGCAGATCAGATGTGGGGTGAAATGATGAGACCAGGGCAGAAAGTAGGGAGGAGTAAAGCTGGGAAGGGGCTTTCTCAGCAATTGTGAGAAGCTTGAACTTAATGCAGTGGCGAAGGGGGAGCCAGTGGAAGAATTGAAGGAGAGGGACAAAGGTGGTATGGTCAGAACAATCAGGCTAGATGTTGGGATGGAGGGAGGGAGTTAAGGGCATAAGGATGCTGTAAATGATGCTGGGAATTGCTCCATGAGGAAAGAAAAAGGGCTGAATGGTGGAGGAAGGGTCAGAGGACAAAGAAACCTAGTGTGCTTAATATGGAGCTAATAAGCCAGGTGCTTGTCACCTCCCGCATCTTTTTTTTTTATTTCAGTCTGTGTGCTCTTCAGGGCAGGGACCATGTCTTCCTCTGTATGTGGAAGGTTCCTAGCATGTTTTGGATGTTACCACTATCTAAATATTCTGCAAAAGATTTGGGTGTTGTGATGGATAATCAGCTGAATGTGAGCTTCCAGTGTGACGCTGTGGCCAAAAGAGCTAATGTGATCCTGAGATGCAAAACGGGTGACTCTTGAGTAGGAGTAGGGAAGTTATTTGGCACCGGTGTGATGTTGTTGGAATACTGTGACCAGTTCTGGTGCCCATAATTCAAGAAGCATGTTGATTATTTGGAGAGGGTTTGGAAAAGAGCCGTGAGAATGATTAAAGGATTAGAAAATACACCTTATAGTGACGCACTCAGAGTTCGATCTGTTTAGCTTCACAAAGAAAGGGTTAAGAGCTGAGTTGATCAACTTATAAGTATCTACATGGGGAACAAATAATTAATAATGGGCTCTTCAATGGGCAGAAAAATGTATAACATAATCCAAAGGCTGAAAGTTGCAGCTAGTCAAGTTCAGACTTGAAATAAGGTGTAAATTTTCAGTGGTGAGACGACTTAATCATTGGAGCAATTTACCAAAGTTTGTGGTGGCTTCTCTATCGACAACCATTTTAAAATGAAGATTGGATGTGTTTCTAAAAGATCTACTCTAGGGGAAGTTCAATGGCCTGTGTTATACAGGGGGTCAGATCAGATGATCATAATGGTCCCTTCTGGCTGGCCTATCTATCGATCTATCTATCTAAAAATTAATGAAATTAGATAATTTCTATTTTTAAAGCTGTTCCCTTCCTATTCTAGGGTTTAATTCTGCATTCTTAATGCATGCAAAGATCCATGGCAATTGTTTCCCTAAGGACTTCATTAATTACACTGGGCTGCGTGTACAGAGTTTAATACATTGTTAGTAGTGAGAGTGTGCTTTTTTTCCAGCTAATGATTTAGCTCAGTGGGTCTCAACCTTTCCAGACTACTGTACTCCTTTCAAGAGTCTGATTTGTCTTGTGTACCCCCACATTTTACTTCACTTAAAAATTTACAAAATCAAACATAAAAATACAAAAGCGTCACAGCACACTATTACTGAAAAATGGTTGGCTTTTCATTTTTACCATATAATTATAAAATAAATCAATTGGAATATAAATATTGTACTTACATAGTATACAGAGCAGTATAAACAAATCATTGTCTGAAACTTTAGTTTGTACTGATTTCAGTAGTGCTTTTTACGTAGCCTATTGTAAAACTAGGCAAATATCTGGATGAGTTGATAAACCCCCTGGAAGATGTCTACGTACCCCCAGGGATACATGTACCCCTGGTTGAGAACCACTGATTTAGCTGATCACGCATCACTTTAACCAAGTCACATTTCTTTTACAGTTGATAGTAACAAACAGGATATATTCCAGAGGAAGAAGAATGCTGTCTTGGTGAATGGTGTCATTTTGAACGGCCCGATAACAGATTCAAAAGCAGGAGAGAAATTTGTAGAAGAGGCCTGTAAGATCATAATGGAGGAGGTCATACGGAAAGCTGCTGATGTAACAGAGAAGGTAAAGCCTTGGAATCAGTTTGAAAATATGTTGTAATAGATATGAGTGATTACAAACTTTAGCTTTCCAAGATAGCTGAGTTTTATAGCACATAAAGGGCACAACTTGCTTTGACGGTGTGGTTAGGTTTTGAAATAAAATATAGCTGCCTAGATTTAAAAATGTGGCATCATGAAACCTTTTAATAGCATAATTAAATTAAAATATACATTTGCAAGAAAACGTTGCCTGCATTACATTGGAATACCTTTTTTTTTTTTTTTTTTTTCCCCCTTGGTCTTGGGGCCTAATTTACCCTTGAATTTGTTGTGCCTGCAAGAGCATCTGTGCCAGAGGCAGATTCAACCCTGAGGAAAGGTAGCTATGTTACCACTGGAGGAGGCAGTATTACAGACTTATCTGGGTTCCGTAGCACCCTTATTTGCAGAAGCTATTTGAGAGAGGTGCTGGACAGGTAGGCCGGCCTTGCCCATTTGTGGGCTGCATGAGCCAGCTCCATGCCCTTGGCACAACAGCATTTGAAGACACTGGCATATCATGGGGGTTGCTGAAGGCAGAATTGGCCTACAGGTTTATTACGCCTAATAAAGATATACAAACCAGAAGCAACTCATCTTGGTTTCCAGATTCCAGGATGAGTTTGCAGCTCTGGCTGTTAGAAAAATAATCTTTTTGCTTTTAACCAGAACAGGTTTGAGCAGGGAGTCCCTGAGACACAATAAAAATAGGATCCCATGAGGCCATTTTTACAGTCGCTGTTCAGAGTAGTGCTGCACTTTTAAGTGCAATTTTCTTACTTTGGAAACCATTACATTACAGAATCCATTGCTGAGTGAGGTTTTATTACCATAACGTTTGTCTTCACCTCAGCCAACATGTATTCATTGCTGACATTTCCCCCATCATTAGGTTTGTGAATGGCAGCCTCCTGAAAAACTGAAAAAACTTCTCGATCTGGAAATGAGGGATACCGGAGAGCCCCATCAGAGACTCTTGCAACTTTGCCAGGACATTATACGATACAGCGTCAAAACTAGTAGGAATTTGAGTTCTAATTGTGTTACCTTATTATTATCAAAAACGCTGAAGTCAGGGTATTTTCTCCTAAACTTTGTTACCCTTCAGGAAACAAGGTGACATTTGCTATGTCAACATTTTCTACCTGCCTGTAACTATATGAAGGCATATGAATGCTTTAATTGGCTGTTCTATAGCTGTTTGAGTAAATGCTGGCATAAGTAATTCTTCTCTCCTTCATATCTAGTCCTTATTGTAAAATGAAAGTATCATACCTGCCAAGCCACCTGGATCCTCACAGTGATCAGATGGATTTCTGAGGGGGACTAAAATCTGTATGATGACATTAAAAAAATCCTGCGAGGGATTACCATTGATGTTAATGGGAGACTCTGCTATTCTAAAGTCTCCTGAAAGACACCTTTGGCCTCTAGACAGGTATGGAATATGATATAACAATTTACCAAATCAGGCAGGAGAAAGACCTTTATGAATCCCCAAGACCTTTGCATAGGACTTCCTGCTGTCTGGTTGGTGAGTAGTGATGTCATAGTCACTGCCATTTAATGCAAATAAGGCAAGGTTAAGTCAGGCGGTTGGTCAAGAATGGCACTGCAGTTACTGTTAACGCATAGCAAACAGTCTGTTTGCAAAAGGAAAGTCAAAACCTTAATGCATGCTTTAAATCGCTTTTTAAATGTAATCAGGTGACTGAGTGAGGTATATACTGTCTTTTTTCACAAATGGATACAGATTTCACCTGGAGCATAATCCTGCGACTTGCTGAGTATCCCCTTGTAAAATGCTGGTCAGCCACAATTCCTGCTCAAGACAATGGGGAATAAGCGCTCAGCATCTCAGAAAAGGCACCCAGCACCTTGTAGAATTGGCCTCAGGCAGGAAAACTTGATGAAAAGCATTCTGTATAACCAAATATCAACAGAAAGAAATGATTAACATCTGTTTAGGAAATAGGGTGGTGTATCAAAAGCCTAGTTAGAATTTCAGAAGCATAGCTACATATCCTATACGCTCAGTGTATTTGAGAAGGTGTGAAGGGCATTTGATATAAATTACTGGGTATGTTTCCTGCTAAAGATGCTGTTGCTACAGAATAAAAAAATTTTTTTGAGAGTGAGCATATGTTTTTGAAGAACACAGAAATTAGCTGTGCTTATCTGAAGAGTCCTAGGCAATATTAATATGCAGATGTCATTACAATGTCAGAGGAATATATTATCTTCATTTTGTAACTTTTTTTTACATTTTCATTTGTTGCACTGTGCCACCCTAGAAAAGGAATTAAATACAAAATCAAGGTGCACAAATAACGTTACCCTAACTATAAAAGCTAGCAAAAGCTTCAGATTTAAGACTTCTAGTCTGTCATGAATTCACCCGGTTTTATAATAGCTAGTTACAATGTGATGAACTGTAGTCCAGATGGTAGTGGACCCTGAATTGAATTGATTTTATGATGAGAACTTTAACATAATTTCTCATTTATTTAATAATGCAGAACCCCAAATGGTGCCTCTTAAATTAAGGTAATAGGGTAAAAGACAGTTTCTCTTTTTCTTGTTTCAGAGGAACAGCCGTGTTAGTCTGTATTCGCAAAGAGAAAAGGAGTACTTGTGGCACCTTAGAGACTAACCAATTTATTTGAGCATGAGCTTTCGTGAGCTACAGCTCACTTCATCAGATGTTTACCGTGGAAACTGCAGCAGACTTTATATACACACAGAGAATATGAAACAATACCTCCTCCCACCCCACTGTCCAAGTTGGACAGTGGGGTGGGAGGAGGTATTGTTTCATATTCTCTGTGTGTATATAAAGTCTGCTGCAGTTTCCACGGTAAACATCTGATGAAGTGAGCTGTAGCTCACGAAAGCTCATGCTCAAATAAATTGGTTAGTCTCTAAGGTGCCACAAGTACTCCTTTTCTCTTTTTCTTGATATCTCAGAAATTCTGGTAAAGGAAAGAAACACAATTTTAAAAAAAGAAACATTTAGAAAAGCATTTCCAGACAGGTTGGCTCTTTAAAGTAACTTAACAGGGAAATTAAAAAATAGAAAACTTCCCCTCAAGTTGGCAGGGAGGGATAGGAAAGAAGAACACTGATGGGATAGATAAAAGTTAAGTGCGGGGTTAAAATGGAGAGTGAAATTTAGGAAGCCAAATGTAGAGTGCAGAGTCAGACTGCCCTCAGCTCCTGTCTCTCAAGATGAGGCTGTATGTGTATATTTTAGAACTGGTCTGAAAATGGTGGGGTTTTTTTCAGCAGAAAATATAAATGAAAATGAGAAAAATTGTGTGTGATTAAAATTTTCAGTGGAAATTTTTTTGGGGGGGGTCAAAACTGAAAACTGAATTATTATTATTTTTTTTTGTTTTCAACAAAAAGCTTTCAGTTTTCCAATAAAAAATTGAAAATGTTTGAGGAAAAAACTGGTACTTTCTATGAAAGTTTTTGTTTAAACTAAACCAAATTTTCCTTCAAAAGTTTCAGCAGGAAGTTTTCAAGCAGCCTTAATAAATTCAACCCTATGAAGAAGGCTATTTAAGTCCCACTTACACCTTGTTTGAGCACAGTTGCGAATTTCACCCTTTGTGAAAAGTTTGGCCAATCTGGGGAAAGGAGAGTCACATGGATACAAAAGGGATAATAAAGTAAAATGCTGCTGTTTGACCATGTAGAATGTTTTAATCTATATATGCAAAAAGAAAAGGAGTACTTGTGGCACCTTAGAGACTAACCAATTTATTTGAGCATGAGCTTTCGTGAGCTACAGCTCACTAGCTCACGAAAGCTCATGCTCAAATAAATTGGTTAGTCTCTAAGGTGCCACAAGTACTCCTTTTCTTTTTGCGAATACAGACTAACACGGCTGTTACTCTGAAACCTGTCATTAATCTATATATCTGCATCCTGTGGTCATGCAGTAGAGATGCTGTTGTTTGTTTTCACTTGTGACGTATACTTACGAGTACTTACGTTTTGTTTTTAAATCTGCAGATCATCCAAGATTTTTCAATCAGTTGTATGCTGGTATTGATTATTACTCTTTAGTGGCTCGTTTCATTACAGAAGCATTAAACCCAAGTGTGTAAGTGTCTCTCTTTTGTACTCATTGAGATAACCCTGGAACACTATTATTATAATCCAGATTTTTAAAAAATTATGAATACCCACTTCAGGTTTCTCTTTACATTAACACAGAGGACTTCTAGCAGGAACCTGGAGATAACAGAATTTGGTTCTGCATCACATAACCATGTACTTCAACAGAAACTTGGCTAAGCTGTTGGAGCCTTTTTCAGTCTGTAGGTTTTAATTTTGGAGTAAAGATTCCCCACTGAAGGGCTTTTGTTTGTCATCCCTTTTACCTGTAAATTTGTTCTTATTTAGGGGATTTAGGTATGCTATTTAGATATACTTTTAAAAACAAACTTATTCAGATAAAGGCTGTCCTCTCAATGAGCAAGACTTTGATCTCACTTTCACCAATGTAAATACAAGGTAACTTCACTGGTGTTGTTTGGGATTTATGCCATTATAACGGAGATTCAATCTGCTCCCAGGTGTTCAAGGTGCAGCTTGTACAAATGTTATTTTTTTGTTTTCATTGTGTGTGTTTGGTATGAAGTGTTAAATTGATCCATTTTTCTTTCTTGTCCATGGCATTCCAAAGTTATATGCCCTTAAATAAACTTTTCCCATTTTGGGACTGGTATTTTAAAGTTGATCCAAAGTTAGGACTGATGTTAGCTGAACTCTCGTAAGCATGCCCGGTGGAGTCCTTCAGCCACCTTCAGTATTTGCTCCACATAGTATTAAGTATGGGCACCACAATGAATTTGCACAAATGTTGTATAGGAATATAAACAAGCAATATGGGGAAGATAGAACTGAAGTCTAGGGTCCAAGTACAATTGCTTTAGGTAGGGAGAGCCTTTAGTGTGTTGGGTGCCAAACTACAGAAGCAACAAGAGCTCCTACAGTTCAACACCCACAAGAAATTGTCTAGTTACATTCATGGATGTTATGTTTTCCATACACATTTTCAACCCGAGTGACTTTTGTTTTTGATGAAGAGAACAAGATAATAAAAAAGAACAAAAGTAAAGTCTCCATGAGAGAGCACAGTGTGTGTATCTCCTCTAAAATAGTCTGCACTGAACTGAGCACAAATGGCTTCTTGGTTGGGCAGGCAGATGTAAAGGTGTAGTAAACAAAAGGGTAACTTACATAAAATGGGTAATTTTTCCCAGGAGCATATGGTTTTATTAGCTGTTATTCATTTAATCTAAATCACATGACTGAAATCCCTATGCATTGCTTTGAAAATGTAAAGGTCAGTTTTATGATGCTGTTAGGAACAGAGGAAATTGCCATACTGGATTAGACCTTTGGTATATTGAAATCCAGCACCAGATGCATCAGAGGAAGGTGCAAGAAATTGCACAGTAGATTCATGTGGGATAAACTGCCACCGAGGGAAGTTTCCTCCTAACCCCTAATAGTTAGAGATTGGCTTAAACCCAGAAGCCTGAGATTTTATCTTCCTCCCAAAACTTTTTTTTATCATTAACATTGTAAACTCTGGATATTCTTGTTATCCATATAAATCTCCAGTCCCTCTTTGAATCTTGCTAAATTCTTAATCTCTATGACATCCTGTGACCATAAGTTCTGCAGTCTATTGCCAATCATGATACTTTTATATTTATTCAGATATACATATGAGGTGTCCCCCGTGTTTTTGTTAGTGGAAGAAGCAGTCCTGAAGAGAATGATTGAATTTGTCGGCTGGAAAGAAGGTGATGGCATATTTAATCCAGGTAAGAAAACAGCCTTCCATCTTCCGAATTTCAAACTAACCTATAGAAACTGCAGAGAACTACAGATTAAGAATTTTGTGATTATTTAACTTGTATTGTGTACGCAAAAAAGCATACAAAATCAGATGACGCAAGGACTTTTGGCTTTAATAAAGTTATTTTACCCAAGCTTCTAGACCATCATAATAAAAATCCTATGAATCTGTATGGTCACATGAAACAAAAGCAGCTGTATGGATCAATTAACAAAAAAAATTACACAGAACGAATTCTAGAGACCCTGGAATTGGAGCCCACCCAGTTCTCATTAATATCAATGATAAGATCACCTTTAGTGACCTGAGTGGGCAGCTGTCTCAGGCTCCAGTTCTATGAGTATGAGCTAATTAACTCAGATTGAATTTGGGGTGAGATTGGGTTATTTAAAGTGGTCATAGTTTCAGAGGGCCACAAGTGCTTTACAAAATACATTGCAGGAGGCCTCCAAGCAATGTATTAGCTGTTATGGGCCACGTTATATAGTTTACATAGAGCCCGGCGCTGAGATGTGGGGTGAAGTTGTACTACCTCAGAGGGTGATTGTGTCTCTGGAGCATGTAGGAGGGGTTCATATACTGCACTACCCTGCAGTGCTCCGTTCTGTACTGCTAGCCAGCTCCACTGACTGCTACGAAGGGGACAGCCTTTGAGCTGGTTGTCAGTCTCTAGCACAGGGCTGTGATTGTGCCTGTCCCTTGTGCAAGATGCCTGACCCATGCACCCACACGAGGGTCAGGCGCAGTGCACCCCTGCACTTTACATCTTTATATCAGTGGGTATCACATGTACAACTTGTGCTCACCATTCCCGGTTACTCTTCTCTTCTGTCAGCATCTTTGTAACTGTATGCATGAAAGCCAGTCAGTGGTGTGACAGGGTACACCTCTGTGTACACTGCCTACATTTTGGGTGTCCATGTTTATCTTAGTAGGAATGACTTGAGCAAACTCCTTTTGGTGTGATACTGTTTTGAAATGATATGAGCAGGTAGACCATGAAATATTTCTGGGTTAATTTTTTTTTAAAGGCTACATTTTAATACTTTTTTTTAAAAGTAGCAATATTGTCAATATATTTCAGATACAGGTGCACAGGGAGAATGGAATGTAACAGTTTAGCCCCAAAATCTTTCTGTCCCGAGTTATTAGCATCAAGAAACCAAGCTGTAAGATTCTTCAACCTGCTTCCTGTGAAAGAGAAGAAAATGTTAAAATATAGTTAGTGGAGGGGATGAGAAATAGTTAATGTATCCCACCAATAAGTGGTAGAAAAGTAAATTAACCATAATTAAAGACATGGGAAATTTGTGGGAAATTGTACCAAATTTGTGGATTTTTTTTTTTGGTTGTCCTAGATTCTGTATATTTTTAGAAAAACCTCTGCATATTCTGCAGATTTTTTTTTTTAAAGAAAATTTACTCAAAACATACCTGAGGACACTAAAAGGTTCTTTAGTGCATTAATTGTATCTTGATTATTTTAGCTTCCATAAACTGATTTTTCATATAAGCCAATCTTGCTTTAAAAAAAAATCCCATCTGTCTCCTTGAGCTCTTCCATTTCCCTTCCAGATCGTCTCCTAGAGATCTTCAACTCCTTCCAATTCCTCCTCATTGTCTTTCCCCTTTCCTCCCTAAATGGATTGAGACCTGGTTGCGTAAGGGACCATCTCTCTCTCTCTGGTGTACTGCCACCATTGAGATCAGCAGAGGCCCTGGAGATCCCACAATGTATACCAGAAGGAACTGGTGCCCAGACATTCTCTTTGAGGACTTGGTTTCTGGAATCATTCCCCTGCCATTTGGTCCACTACAGCCCAGATCCTTTAACCTTCCAAGCAAGCAGCAAAGCCTCCTTTTCTTCTCTCATCTCTCAGGCTGCTGAGTAAGGACTGGGCTATGAGCGATATAGTTACAGGCTAGTTTTGTGGTTTTAATTTATGAGCTAGGTGCTAACAGCACAAGATGAGTGCCAAGACGTACTTGTTTGTTTGAATTTCTAAAATATAATCGAATATGTTTTGTGTGTTTTTTTTGTTTGTTTTTTACAGGTGGCTCTGTTTCTAATATGTATGCTATGAACTTAGCTAGGTATAAATATTGTCCTGACATAAAGGAAAAGGGGCTTTCAGGGTTGCCAAGACTAGTCCTGTTTACATCGGAAGAGGTAAAGAAATTGCACACATATTCATTATAGACTTTTAATTAATGAACTTTTTTTTTTCTTCCGCATGTGCTTGTACATTTCCATTGTTTGATTGTGTGTCTAATGCTGTTTCAAGCATAATAAAAGGGTCGTCTTCATACAGTGGGAAACATGGTGTGTGGAGATGACTGGTGGTGAATTCCCCCTGTACAGAGAAACTCTCCACCTCCTTCCTATCTCTGGTGTTGGGAGAAGAGGAGGTTGTGTCAGGGGCAGGATGGGGAGGGGTTGTGGTGAAACAGAGCTCCACTATGTTTGATTTCCCACTGACATAAGGTCTAGCAGGAACATCCATCAGTAATGTAAGTTAAAGCTACTATCCTGCAGCTTAAGCTTATGTTGGGGCCAGGCAGTCAATAGTTAGAAAGCTACAACTGGCTCCCTGCAGTCCCCCTTCTCCACTGGCTCTGAGCACAGCTTGGCTGGAGTGGAGAATCAAATCCAACAAAGAGAATCCTAGCAAAACCTTTCACTGAAGCTCTCTGAACAACGCTGCTTTAATAACCTACTTTAAAGAATCTAAAAACTTCTTCCTGTTTTAAAGCTTTCAAACATAACATATGCAAAACTCAGGTGGGAGACTGGAGTAGGAGGGATGTCCACAGGCACTAATCCTCCTTCAGAGCTTCAGCCTTTAATTAGAGCCTCTTTTCTCCCACCTACATCTCCGCCCCTTGGGCTTTGTGACATTCACAACCCTTTAAATAAACTAGGTTGAGTATAGTTGTGTTTGAGATTAGATTGGCACAGGTGGTGGTATCTATTTATCTATTATTGTTACTTCTATTACAATAGCAGTTAGATGCCCCAGTGGAGATCTGGGCCGCATTTTGCTTGGAAATGTACACAAATACAGTAATAGTACAGTCCCTGCCCTTAAGTGCTTACGGCCCCCAAAAGCTTACAGTATAAATGGACAAGGCAAAGACTTATCATCCCAGTTTTTCAAATGGGAACCTGGACACAGGAAGATCACATGGCTTGCCCAAGGATCAGAGAAAAATTCTATGGCAGTGTCAGGGACTGAACCCAGCTGTCCTGAATCCCTCTTTATTGCCTTAACCACAAGACCATCCTTCCTCTCTCTTGTTGGTACCTACATACCCAGTACTTCTACCTGTGCCCCTAGCATTTGTTGTAATATCTTTAGTTATTTTAATTGGCATTGTACAGAAGTGCTAGAATTTTTATCAGTTTAAAAGGGAGGAGACATATATTTTAGTAGAGATCCTAATTTTTGACCCATGTTTACTTCTGTTCCACCCAGATTTGGTATTATCTCACTTCTGTTTTTCAAAATAGTTTGCCTCAGATATGATTTGATTATTGCAGTTATATGAAAAACTGCTTAAACTCAAGAATTTGATACACCATAATGCCAACTTTCTATTATTATTTATCATGTTTTGTTTATTTGTATTGAATAGTACCTAAGGGCCAGGGACCCGTTGTGATGTACAAACCTACAATAAAGAGATTGGTCTCTGCCCTGCAGAGCTTACTATCTAAATAGAGACAAGAAGTGGATAAGACAAAGAGATGGGGGAGCACAAGGAGACAATGAGCTGATACTGCTCAGCATCAACAGTGGTCAGAGCATACTGACTGGTCTACGGCCCTCATTTTATGGCTTAGTCTCAAAGCCATGTCTTACATTTGAGCTTCTAGCACTGTAGGAGGTGGTCTGTTAGTGTTGCACAGCAGTGGTGTTCTCAGGCAGGCACTCAGTGTCAATGTGGTACTGTTCTTCAGGAGGTGTTAGACTGAGGGCAGGTCTGTACTCCCGCTTAAGTTGACCTAACTTACGTCGCTCAGGGGTGTGAAAAAGACATCCCCTGAGTGACGCAGGCTACAGTGACCTAAGCACTGTCTTCCTCTTGCATAGGTGGTGTAATTATGCCTGTGGGAGAGTGCTCTCCCATCAGCATAAGGCGTCTTTACCAGACTACGCCGATGTAGCACTTCTAATATAGACCTGCTCTCAGACTTTAAGGCCAGAAGGGACCATCATGATCATCTGTTCTAATCTCCTGCACATTGCAGGGCACAGAACCTCACCCACACACTCCTGTAATAGACCAATAATTCAGCTAGAGGTTAGGGAAGTCCTCAAATCATGGGTTAAACATTTCAAGTTACAGAGAATTCACCATTTACACTAGTTTAAACCTGCAAGTGACCTGTGCCCCATGCTGCAGAGGAAGGCGAAACCCCCCCAGGGTCTCTGCCAATCTGACCCAGGGGGAAATTCCTTCCCAACCCCAAATGTGGCGATCAGATAGACCCAGAGCATGTGGGCAAGACCTGCCAGCCAGACACCTAGGAAAGAATTCTCTGTAGTAACTCAGAGCCCTCCCCATCTAGTGTCCCATCACCAATGGCTGGTGATGGGACATTTGCTGCTCACAGTCACAGGTTGGTTACATGCCATTATAGGCAGTCTCTGCTCTTTTGCTGAAAGGTAAAGTAAGTTTAGATAACATACACTCTAACTCAAAAAGATACAAAATCCTTAGATACTTGAAAAAATGGTGATTTATGGAGGAAACTGCACATACCGTTGCTGGACAGTTCCTCAGTATCACTTGAGGTAGCAGCAGAAAAATTATTAGTATCCTGCCTTCCTGAGTTTTAGTTAGTGTTTCTGAACCTGTAATACATAACTGAGTACAACTCAAGCTACAGTCATTAACCACATTTTTATCGCTTTCCTTTTCATTATATTTGAGTCTTATCTGATTTTGTTCGGGAATAAGAACATTGTGGTGGGCCAGAAAGTTGAGAATGCAGTGAAATTGAGAATAAGAGAAGAAAAGAAATGCATGAGAAATTGCAATGGATACTTTAATGCTGGTAGTTTTTTGGTGTGATGAAATGGAACCCCTCCGATGTGACTTGATCATACATGTAAACCAGGGATGGGCAAACTTTTTGGCCCAAGGGCCACATCTGGGTGGGGAAATTGCATGCAGGGCCATGAATGTAGGGCTGGGGTTGGGGTGTGGGAGGGGGGTGCAGGGTGTATTCGGGGGCTCAGGACAGGGGGTTGGGGGGCAGGAGGGGGTGCAGGGTGAGACATGGGGTTGGGGGCTCAGGGCAGGAGGTTGGGCTGTGCGAGGGGGTGCAGGAGGGATTTGGGGTGCGGGATCCAGCCCAGCACCGCTTACCTGGAGTGGCTCCAGGGTGCCAGCGGCACGCACCGGGGCTAAGGCAGGCTCCCTGCCTGCCCTGGCCCCACGCCGCTCCGGCACCACGTCCCTGTGGCCCCTGGGGGAGGCGGGGGCAGAGGGCTCCAAGCACTGCCTTCGCCTGTGGATACCTCCCCCGAAGCTCCCATTGGCCACGGTTCCCCATTCCTTGTCAATGGGACCTGCGGGGCGTGGTGCCTGCAGGCAAGGGCAGCACATGGAGCCCTTGGTGCCCCTCTCAGGGGCCGCAGGGATGTGGTGCCCACCACTTCTGGGAGCGGTGCAGGGCCCGCGGTGCCATGGGGCTGGCAATCCCGGGGGCCGGATCCAAAGCCCTGATGGGCTGGATCCAGCCCGCGGGCTGTAGTTTGCCCACCCTCATGTAAACGAAGTATGAGAGTACGATATTAAGCAACCCCTCTGATCTGCTACTGAGATTACAATAGACATAATGAGTAATAAAGCCATCTCATAATAACATAGTTGCTTTATGTGCTTGGTTTCCAGAAAACTTTTCAAAAACAAGTAAATATTAATTTTTTATTCTGTCTGCATGAGTGCAGGACAAGGTTACATAGTGTTTGGAATTACAACAAAAAATACTAAGTCTTTCATTCCCTAGTCAAAATAATCTCATATACTCTCCCCACACCCCATTTTAAATGTACTAGTATTCAATTTGGTCTTGTGGTTTGAAAAGGTTTCTTTTTCCAACCTGAATGATTACAGATATTATATCTTCCTCAAAAGAAGATTGCAAAGAGCTTACTTAAAATGGGAACTCTAAGCACTGTTATAAAGGATTGACGCTGTAGATTTGACTCTAGTTTCTGTAAATACCTGTTGATCACTTTAGATAAGCTATTACCAGCAGGACAGTGGGGTGGGAGGAGGTATTGTTTCATATTCTCTGTGTGTATATAAAGTCTGCTGCAGTTTCCACGGTAAACATCTGATGAAGTGAGCTGTAGCTCACGAAAGCTCATGCTCAAATAAATTGGTTAGTCTCTAAGGTGCCACAAGTACTCCTTTTCTTTTTGCGAATACAGACTAACACGGCTGTTCCTCTGAAACCTGTAAATACCTGTGTATCTTTTGCTAATATGGTGCTATGTAACTTATTACATTAGTGTGTTTAGGAAATAATAAGAGAGATCTTTGAAGCCAGTATATTTTGGAGACTTCCTTTTAGTCCCGTGGTGGAAGCACTCCAAAGCTATGCTCTGGCACAACTCTTATCATTTTTATAGTGATAGCTTCTGGCCATACACTTAAGGTCTGTTTTTGCTCCCATTGAAATCCGTGGCACATCTTCCATTTCAATGGGAGCAGATTGGACTTAAAGTCCAGAAATGACACAGCTACATGTTGTTTTTCTTGGGGATTCAGTCAGTTCCCATTATTTTTGTCTCTCAGTATCTCAAATGCTGAAGCTGCACTTATGTTCTTCTTCCTTGCCCCTCTCCACTGTGATTCGGTGATCTGCTTTTATCTACCAACTTCTAGATTTTGCAGATCCATCGCTTTCTGGAGCAATTTGATTATTCCAAGTGACTCAGTGTCGTGCTTTTCGTTTGAACCTAGTGTTAAAAGTCAGTGGTATAAGCTAGCTTTTTTTTTTTTTTAATTGCTGTTATTAATTTATTTAATCATTCAGAAATAATTTGAAACTCTCTGTTGCTGGAATCTGAATCTCTCATGAACAAAAAACATTGCAGATCTATAATATATTACCAGTTAGTGATGTAATTTGATGGAACACAAGCTTAATTGTCCACCTATGTATACTACTATTCTTGCAGTAGTCTAAATGAATGAATCCTAAAGGTTTTGTGAATGTGTCATGTTAGAAAATTAAACATTTTAAAGATTGACTGACTGATATTAGCTGTTAGTATTTTGTGTTCATTTAGTTGAAAGGAAAAATTTCCTGGTTTAAAGAAAAGGAAAAAAAGAAAAGAAAAAGAATACCCTTTGAGATGATCCATCTCATCAAAATAAGCGTGACAGGCTTGAATACCCTTGATATATTCATACTCACACATTAAAGTGCTGTACATTTTTCATAGTTATGTTCCTCTGTAACTGCATTTGTGTGAACCCTGTGGAAGAAAATGGAATTAATTAACCACCTGGCTTCATCTCCTGTATGAAAAGAAACAATTCTAGACGTCGTCAGGGTTGTTGGAATGTATGTTGTTATTATAACCCCTAAAATAATAACATGAAGGATTTGCTTCCGTTTTTCAACAAGAGCAATTTTAATATGTCCTGTCAGATTTAGGGCAAGCCTTAATGCTGCAAGATACTGAGAGCTTGTGTGAGATGCTAAGGGCTCATCAGTATCCACTAGCTTTTATGGGAGATGAATGCATTTAGCATCTTGCAGGTGCTTCTCAGTACCTTGCAGGATCGAATCCTCAAGGCTTGTCTAAACTTGAAGGTTAATTTGGATTAAGGCAGGGTGTGAATTTAAAGTGCAATAGCTAACTGTGACCGTGAACTAAGATAAATCAGAACAAGGCACTCTTATTTTGGAGTAAGTGTCTTCACATGGAGTTACTTTAGAATAACTCCATGAGTAGTCAAGCCCTAGGTCACAAATATGGAATTTAGAAGTATGGTAAAATATGAAACTTTGAATCTTTGCATTAAACAGAAGAAAAACTGCAAACTACAGTGCAGAGATTGTTAACTTGATTCTTATTCACACTAAGGCCACTTTATACCACTCTCATAATGTAAACACCCACTTTAAGGCCCCTTCACACTGCTAGAGTGGTGTAATGTGGACTAGTGTATGTTTATTTCTACTTTTATGGCCCCTTTGTGCTGCGTACAGTGGTTCTCAAAGTTTTGTATTGGTGATCCCTTTCACATAGCATGCCTATGAGCACGACCTCCCCCCCACTTATAAATTAAAAACACTTTAACACCATTATAAATGCTGGAGGCAAAGCAGGGTTTGGGGTGGAGGCTGACCGCTCGTGACCCCCCATATAATAATCTTGTGACCCCCTGAGAGGTCCTGACCCCCAGTTTGAGAATCCCTGCTTTAGTATAAATGAGAAGCAGGTTTTTGTGTGCACATTTGTGTGAAGATACTGATAAAAAGATACCATAAAAATATCTTAAATGTCAACCACATTACTCTTTGCCTCTTTATCTACTGTACCATTCAGTGCGTGTCATTTGACTTTAGCTATTTTGTTTCTGCACAGCATTCACAATTTGTTGTTTGTATTAGGAAATATAGTTAGTTTTGTGACCTTTGTCAAATATTGATGTCATTATGCGCCATGTCAAGCTTTTTTTAAATTGCTTGTTTACTTTTTTGATGTCTTTTTCATTTACTCAGTGTCATTACTCCATGAACAAGGCAGCTTCTTTCCTGGGGATTGGCACGCAGAATGTTTACTTCATCACAACAGATGAAAGGTAAGGAAACGGAGCCATTGCCATAGTCTGATCCTTTTAAAATGCAGTAGTGCTGTAAGTAAGTAACCTATTTGAACATAACTGAAAAAGTTTTAAATCTGTGTCCCTTAGAGGTAAGATGATACCTGAGGAACTGGAGAAACAAGTCCAGCGGGCCAGGAAAGAGGTGAGAGGTGGGGAGAGAGCGAGTATGCAGGCTGCGCGCTTGTGCATTTGAATGAAGGAAAGGGGAATAAGAGTGAGCGAAAGTTACAATAGGGCAGTTCATATACACATATTCTTATGCGTGCAACCTGCTTGCCACAAATTGTTCAGTAAGTCAGGAATTCCGGGGGATTTGCTGTACAAGGCCATTAACGTTTCCCAAGGCCTTTGCTCGTGTTAATCATGAGATCAAGTAATGCTGCTCTGAAGGACTCTAGTACATCTTTTCTGCTCACAATATTCCGTTTGCCCTCAAGCCTTCGTAAATTGACATGATGAATGCATTGCTTTAAACTGTTGCTGCTTTCTTGATTTATAATGTAACAATCTTAACTGTAGCAAAAGCTATAAGAGAAGAATCAGCAAATATTAGGAAGTATGTGCAATAAAGGCCTGTTGTCTTAGCATGTAGTATCACATTCCACCCCGCTCACTGCAGTGACAGGGATCAGAGACTCCATCCAGTGTTTATGTTCCTCCAGGGATCCTGACATCCAGGAAGATGGGTGGGGGTAGCATTTGCAGGGATAGGGTAATGCACTGTGGGATGTATTTTGCTGCTCCTTTGAGCAGCAGCAAAGTGTGTGCCGACAGTTTGCCAGTTAGTGCTTGTTACTGACAGTAGCTTATGAACTCGCTAGCTTGGGGGCTACAGCATGACTCCTAAGATGCAGATCATCTCTCCTTGGGTTGGCCAGCTGGACCTTCCTCTATGCACCCAACTTGTGCATCAAAGCAGTAAGGGCTCGGATTGAGCCCTTAGTTCTCAATCTGGGAATCGCATACAGACAGCTGGTGTGTCATCTAGGATGTTAATGTGCTGGACCACACACAATGGGGCTAACACTTACACCTACTTTGCAATGAAGTCAGAAGTGACAGTCCCAACCTGCCTTGCACCATCCTGCCTTGCACACTGAGTAAATGAAAAAGACACTGAGCTTTCAATAAGGGCTGACTTACAGGTATATCCTTAACCAAAAACTGACAGTTATTTCCCCACTGTGTACCATAGTTAGTTGACTGACTACTGATTTATTGTGGGCTTAATTGTATAGCAAAACAAATTCCTCCTCCTTCCCCCCCTCCCCTCTCCCAGACAGCTGAAGGAGAAGAGCTAAACTTCACTCATTTTGAGCAGGTAGGAGAAAGCAGAAGTGAAAATAAAACTGGGCAACTAAAAAGTAATACATTAGCTGGGCTAATAGGGAAAAATTCCTTGCTCAGGTAAGAAAAGGACTTTCCTTTCTTGGCCTGTGAATGAACTGTTGATAGATATTTTTTTTTTTGGGATGATTTTAAAGAAAAGCACCTAAAATAAGAGTGGGCTAAATCCATTTGTTTTGCACTGATTTTTATAGAAAAGAAAACCTTTTCCTTATTAAAAATGTTCTGGTTACAGATTTTCTTTCTTTGATGAATGTTTATTATTGTTTCATTTGCCTTGAAATGGGAATGACAAGCACTTTGAAAGGTTCTCTCATTTCAGTTTAGGTTCTGTAAGTACCTCTCTCCTTGATTAAATGCCATTTTATACTTTTTCCACAGCAATATGTCTCAGTGAATTGCAGTAAATATTCTTATCACACCAGAGGACTATTTTTTCCTATTCTGCAGTGGTGGAACTGCATGAGTGTTCTATAAAGCATAACAAAGAGACAAAGTGGGTGAGCTAATATCTTCTGTTGGACCAGCTTCTGTTGGTGAGAGAGACAAGCTTCCATAGAGTCCAGACATGAAGAAGAGCATTGTGTAAGCTTGAAAACTTGTCTCTCACCAACAGCAGTTGGTTCAAAAAAAGATATGATCTTACCCACCTTGTCTATCTAATATCCTGGGACTAACACTGCATAAGGCATAATAGACAAAAACCCTAGGCCTCTTTACTAACAAGATACAACTAGACCTGGAACTTAAAGCAAAAAGGAAAAAAACTCAGAAAAGAGGATTTGCTTAAATATAGCGGCAAGCAGAATAAAAACATGCTTCCCTTACTTACTAAAAATGTTATGGTCGTTATCAAGAATTCATAGAGGACCCAATCCTGTTGGCCTAATTCAGGCAAACCCCTTGTTGGCTTCAGTGGGAGTTTTGGCTTTGCCTGTTTGTTTACTGTGGGAGCAGACCAGCAGGGATTCTTTAATTATTTTTTGTTAAATGTAATCAGTACATAGAGTTATTGCCATGGCGGAAGTGTTGCTTCACTGGGTACTTTAGTTTCAGGCTCTTTTGTTGTGTTTCAGATTAGTTGACTTGTTTTAGACTGTGAGAGGAATGAACAAAAGTTCAGAGGGACATTACAGATTGAGATTTTTGTGAACATATGGGCCTGAGTCTCATTTACACTAAGGCCACTTTACACTGCTCTGGAAGTGTAAGTAAAATTGACTCCCCCTGCAAGGCCCTTTGACATGGTTAGGTGTAAGGTTGTTTTAGTGTAATTGTGAATGAAGCCTATATGTCTTCAATAGATGTTTAAAATTGATCTGGATTTCATTCGAAATAAAACATCACATTGCCAGATTGTCAACTGCTATAAATTGAAATGAATGGAGCTGCGCTGATTTACATCAGCTGAGGATCTGGCCCTAAAAATAAATCGGAGAGAGGTCCCTCTTGTTAGCCTAAAATTAAACGTGTAGTTGATGAAATCCCAAATTCAACAGTTTAATACCAGTTTGGGCATGACCTTGAGTGGTGCAGAGGACTAACAGCTCCCATTGACCTGAGAATTCCATCGCTCAGTGCTGCTTGGGATGAATTTAGCTTCTCTAAGTAATTGCAAACCTGGTTGCATGTGCAAGTCTCACTGACATCAGTAAGAGCTACAAGCTTGTATCGGAAGGGCAGAATTCCATCTACTATTGTAATCACCCTGCTAGGATTAACTAAAAAGGAAAACGTTTGCCGCTGAGGCCAAAAGGGAAAGAGAATTGCCAGAGACCTCAAAGCTGCCAAAGGTTTCACTACTCAATCTATCTAATCTGTCTGAGAGAGAGATGGAAGAAGATCTCACTATATGTTTAACCACTGCCTATAATCCTTACTATTTTTAGAAGAGTAGGACAGACACAGTGACTTGCTGTGGGCCACTGACATTCGGGTTAGTGATAATTGTTCCAGCTTTAGAATATGCTGGCACCTGCTAAGGCAGAAAATGTTACCAAGCTCAGTCTTCCTCTGCACTAAGCAGGGTGAAGAATACAAACACTGCAAGGTAATGCAGGTGGGATCCCCTGAGAGATGAGGAGTCACTTCCTTGCCTGATAGTTGAGCTAATGGTGCCATCAATATTCGGCAGAACTGCAGCAAACACAGTAGTGAGAGGGGAAAGGATTGTGAAATGACAATTAGAGTAAAAAAAGAGAGATGTCAACTATCGAACATGCTTTCATCTTTACAGGGCTCAGAACTGTCAAAATATAGTCTGCATCTAGTGGCTTCCAGCCCATAACAATATGTCATCCAGGAATGCTGGTTTTTGAAAGTCAGCACTTTAAAATACAGTACCTCATATGTTAGCCTTTTACTGCTGAGAAACTAAAATGTAGACACTGTTATACCTGCCCTATTTTTCTAGACCTCGTTATATTTTAGCTCAGCATGCATATTAGAGGATGTGAACGGTGCAAATGACATTTCTTTGTTTTGGATCATTTCACAGGGGGCAGCACCATTTCTTGTCTGTGCCACAGCTGGTACAACTGTGTTGGGAGCATTTGATCCTCTGGATAAAATAGCTGATATCTGTGAAAAACATGGCCTTTGGCTGCATGTGGATGTAAGTTAGTTTATATACCATGTAGTTTGTTAGTATTGCTTCAGCATTGTTGATGCTTTCTTCGGCAGCTGTGATATTTCCATGCACTCAGAAATTAGACAGGAGTTTAATTCCATTTGCCATTCTTTGCATGTGCAGCAGAAATGCAGCCACTTTCTCTGTTAAGTTCTGCCTGCTGAAAACCAGCAAAGAAGTGGGTTTTGAAACCTGGTCAAAGTCTTTTTGCAGATTGCCAGATTGTACTTTAAGAATGCTTCTAAACCGCCTCCCACTCCTTCCTCCCACCCAAAAGACACAACAAAACCCGATGCAGTTTTGAAGAGGAGAATTGTATAGAAATATTCCTTCAAATTCTTTCAACTTCTTAATATGGGCTGGATATAGCATAATTACTGTTAGTTGGGTCAAAGTCAAATGTTCCCAGTGAGACTAGCAAGACTTGTAGTCAACGAGTTTATAGTTGTCTAAATGAGAGCAAAATCTGCATTGATCGCAATAACTGATGGCTGTCGCACATTCGTGGATTTGGCTTTCCTGTTGACCCACTTAAACTTTCCTGGGCTGCTCAGAATAAAATGTTCTCTAACCCTTTTTTTCATTGTATGATAAGGTTTTAATCTTATACAAGTGAAAGTTTGGAAAGTTGAATTTATCATCTCTGTCTGGAGTAACCATTGAGTTACTGGTATGAACACGAAGAGTTAATTTTTTAAAATGATTTAATCTAAAATTAAATCTTGTAGCCCAGATTCTGCTTATTAATTACACTAGTATAAATCCAGAATAACTTGACTGAAGTCTATGGAATTACTCAGGATTTATACCGATGTAGTCAGAGGAAAATCTGGACCTGGGTCTATATGGAAGATTTAATTTTGTTTGTTTTGATTTTGAACACTTTAAGATTTTTGCAATGGCAATGACCTGAGTTTTAAATACAAACTTTTTTTATATTTAACCTGATCATGCTTCTAACTGAGTCAGTGAGTTTTGCCATTGATTTGATGGATTGGCCCTATTCATTTTAATAGAAGTGCTGGAGAAATAGCATGGTTAGGGCATTGCTTTATTAAATCTAATATTTTTCATCTGATAATTGTCCTAGGCCTGTGGTTCCTAAATTGCAGTCTGAGGAGGACTTGCTAGTGGCCTGCAGAGAGCTGGCTTTTCTTGTTTCCAGCTGATAATCATATTAAGAAGCTAAAAATAATAATTTAATATTAGGAAAATTTTACTTTTCCGTGTGTGCAATTGCTGTAGTTGCCTCGGGGATCTTACTTGAATCCCAGAGGAAGGGGAGGTGTCCTGCACGATTATGAATGGGAGGCTATTTGGTGAGCACGGCAACTTTGCTATTAAGATGTGGCCCACATTATGAAAAAGTTTGAGAATTCTTACTGTAGGCTGACAGTGGGGCTTTGGTTTATTTACGCTTTTAGTGGTAGGTATTTGTGTGTGCATGTAGAGGGGTTGTAACCCTATATTTTTAATTTGTATAGCCATATATATCTATTCAAGCTCAGAATTGTGGAGTGGTTACTCTTGTAACTGCAGAAAAGAAGTCAAGTGATATTTGTAATATGATCAGTGATGAATATAAGAAAGAGAAAACAAGTAAACACAGGAACTTGTAATTCAGAAATAATCTTTAGGAGTCATGGTGATCAGAGGCCATTCTGAAAAGAAACAGCAACCCCATGTACACTAAAAATAGCGTTTGAACGCTAAAAGCCTAGTTCTGTGCTGATTTATGCATTGTGCAGTCCAGTGGTTATCAAGAGAACACCTAATATGGCCCTGTTTATAGTTTTGAAAAAACTAAAGAACAATTAAAATCAAATGATTTTGAGTAGATGTAAGTGCTCTATACAGCAGGGCCATAGTCTGATGTCAGTTACACTGGTGTGAATCAGTCACGCCATTGGCTTCAATCCCAAGAGCTATTCACCATGCTGTCTAAAATTGAAGTCAGTAGAGTTATTCCAGATTTACACAGGTATAACTCAGTTCCAAATCTTACCTTGTGTCAAACAATACTAGGGAAACTACGTATTCATTAGATTTCCTTCTCCAAATATAAAAAAAATCACAACACTTTAAATTACAAGTTTGTGTTTGTGGATGCAGAACTTTTTGTGGTTTTTGTGTGTTTCTTTTTTTTAAAGAGTTACGCTGTATTTCAAGAGTTAACTTGTTGATTATGAAATGCAGGGCCTAATGTGGTGATTTTTGTCTGTATTGTCTAAAGAGGAACTCTGAATAAAAATGAAAAGCTCAGTTTGTTATCACACACGTAATTAAAGTTGTATTGTCTTAGAACCTGATCTGACTTCCACTGAATTAATGGGAGCTTTTTTGTTGACTTGAATGGGTGTCGGATCAGTCCCCTAGCCAATGAGTGGGCATTTAGCATAAATGAAGTTTATTTGCAGCTCTTCCACAGAATTGCTGTGTGATCTTGGGAAACTCACTGAACCTCCTTGTACTTCCTTTCCCATTTGTAAAATTGGAATAATAACTATTAATAGTTACAGGGAAGTTGTGGGACTTTGAGATTCACAGCTGGAGTATTATTATTGAAATTTGATTCCTTCCTGTATGAGAAAAAGAGTAGTCCAGTGGTGAGGGCACTAGCCTAGGACTTGGGAGACCTGCGTTTAATTCACTATTTTGCTGCAGACTTACTGTATGATCTGAGAGGCAAGTCGGTTATTTCCTTGGAGCCTCAGTTCCCCATCTGTAAAATGGGAATAATAGCACTTTCCTACTTCACGGGTTTTCTGAGGATACATACATAAGACTGTATGGTACTCTCACACTGCCGTAGAGTGAGCCATATAAGTGCCTGTAAGACATGATTTTAACCTTTCATTCCCTGGTGTGCCTTCACTGTTCCTATCTCCCAGTTATGACAGATACCATTTCTAGCCTTTTGCCTCTGAAACAGATACTGATATAGATAAATTATAGACCACCTGATGCAACTTACCTCCGTGCAGCTGCTCCTATGAATACTTGCATTTCCCATACTTGCGTCTTGAAAACCTGGATCCGGTATTTCTACTTTATTACACTTATAGAAATTGTGGATGCTCAGTACTTCTCAGGATCCAGTCTTGGCATTTCCTTTTTGGGGACTTCAGTAAGAGGAAGGCACTGTGCAGGTGTGGGTTGTGCAGGCATCAGCACACAGCTGTGCCAGTGCACCTCAGCCCTAATTTAATAGTATGCCGGGACTGAGACCTCTCCTAGGGTGAGGCTAAATACAGTGTCTGGGGACCAGACTGAAACTACTACGTCTAGGTCACTTGCTATGACCTAAAGTTATGTTTTAAATCAGGTCTTCATAAGTGAAATGCTACCACAGTGTGTTAATCCTCTGAGTAATCTAATTGTATGAATTTGTCCATTTTTGGAGCTGAGCAAGTGCCTGGCGACTTGAATCGGGCCAAGATTTCACCCTTAGCGTGAAATTCACATTTCCCTGAAAAAATTGGGCCAAGGTAGGACATAGGGGCCTCAGAATCTCCCCCTCCCCCAACATACAGGTATAGCACCTAGAGCTATCCTTGGGCTCTAGTAGCGGCCATAGCTCAGTGTGCCCCACCCCTGTGTGGGATTCATTGCTAATGAATCTAGATAATTTGATGACCCACGGACCACACCCCTACCTCTCTTCTAGTCCACCCACAATCCCCTGAGCATTCTTGTTGAGCGGAGAAACATTTTGCTTGGCTCTTCAACATGAAGGGGGCTGTGGAATCCTTCTAAATGGCCTTTCTGCTTTCTGGCCTCATACAGCAGAACAGCAGTGGTTCCACTTCTTTTGATCATTCCAGAGCTGTGCAGGGATGGGAACCGAACTTTCAATCAGTAACAGCAATCCTATCACATGGCTTTTGGCCTAACTTCCAGTCAGTAACAGTATATCCATCATATAACAATTGCTTCATAAATATGTATAAAAACCATTTTATTTGCATTACCCATTCAGAAAAAATATTGATCTTTAATAGGACTCTTCTGTGAGGCTTTCTGAAATTTTCCACAAAATTTTTTTTTTTTTTTTTTTTTTTTTTTAGTTTCTGGAAAAATGTTTCCAATTTATGCAGAAATCCCTGCCAGGTACATTTTAACACAAACATTCTGCATATGCATTTTTAAATCACTTGGGTGCAAGTTCTGCAATGGATTCTGCATGGGTGGGTCCCTGTACCTGTGTGGATCCCTGCTTAAGTCCCTGCTCTGCACAAGCATGGGTTCTGCCAGACTGGAGCTCTTTGCAAGATCAATGCCTTCAACATGGAGCCCTTTTCTTTTATTACTAGTAATAATTTCTTACAAAAGGCTTTGAGCATATTATGTGATGTGTGCCCCACAATCTCCCTTTCCATGCATAGCTGCATGGAAACTCTTCATTAATGTCTGAGACTTATAGATTCATTGCAGCTATTAGGTAGTTGGGGTCCAATCCTGTTCATGTTGAATCCATGTTAAAAATTCCATTGATTTCAGTAAAACAACGAGGAGTCCGGTGGCACCTTAAAGACTAACAAATTTATTTGGGCATAAGCTTTTGTGGGTAAAAACCCCACTTCTTCAGATGCATGGAGTGAAAATTAGAACTGGACTCCTTGTTGTTTTTGTGGATATAGACTAACACTGCTACCCCTCTGATAATGGATTTCAGTGATGCAACATCAGACCCTAGGTGCTGCTGTCACATGCTTGCAGACGTTGTATTCCATAGTAAAAGTCAGTGGTCCAAATTCTGGGCTTGACTCTGCAACTTACATAGAGTAGCCTTTACTTGAGAGAGTATTGTCACTGAGGTCAATGGCACTACTCATGTAAGTGCTACAGAGAGCGAGTGAACAAGATTTGCAGATTTGGGCTCTCTTAGACACCAGTGCAACCAACTTGATTTCAACATGGTTACATTGATGTCACTGAGTATACAATTACGCACCATGAGCAAGGATCACACACATTTAAAACAGAGTATTGCTTTCGAATAAGATGGATTATTGAGGCTTTATAAAATAATGCAGTGGGAATACTTGTAGAGCATTAGAATATACAAATAACATTGTCTTGGTTATGTAAATATCTCAACAGGCATCTTGGGGTGGCTCAGCTTTGATGTCAAGGAAGCATCGCAAGCTTCTGCATGGCATTCACAGGTAAATAGTTTAATGGCTTATGGGAACACCTAGGAAGGGCGTTAATTGGGAAGGGGCACTGCTTAAGAATCTCTTTGGGGTTTGTATGTCCAAAGTATTGTTTTAATTGAAGAGACCACAGAATTTATAGGTGGGGGTAGGGGGGAAGATTCAGAAATCTGTTATAGGCATTTGTACTATATATGGGCATTTTTTACTATTTACAGTTGTGATTATAGGGTAATCATTTGTTTTTTACCTCTTTCCTCAATTCCCCAGGGCTGATTCTGTTGCCTGGAATCCCCATAAAATGTTGATGGCAGGAATCCAGTGCTGTGCTCTTCTGGTGAAAGACAACTCTGTAAGTCCTCCTGTTATCTTTTAAATGCAACTTTAAAGTTGGGGTGTGTCATTGCTGTATTATGGAAGTGGAGATAATTAGAAAGCAATTGCAAGTTATTTTTACTACACTCTCTGATGCAAAGTAGAGACTTGTAAAAAATGTATACAATGTCACAAAGGACAAATAATGATATGGGACCAAATTCACCCATGACACTAAACTCAACAGAGTTATACCAGGGTTGAATTTTCACGTGGTGTTCCTGTAACTTATTTGCTTTAGATCATGAAGTAAGCTGCTCAGTCACTAAGATGCAGGATGAAGTGGTCTCCAGCATTTGGAGACTGATCTTGCTCCCATCAAAGTCCATGGCAAAACTCTCATCCATTTGGATGGGAGCAGTATTTAGTCTTTAGGTGGCATTCATTAAACAGTTAGGGCTAAATATTTCCTTCCTTTGCACTAAATTTTAGGTCGACTTGCAACCACTGCTCCTTTGCCTCTCCCCATTGTTCACTGCATTGTGCTGGTGTGTTTCTTTCATCCCTTCCATATCTTCCATATGATTTGGTGACTTCTCTGTCTGCCTGTCCCGGTGATGTGCTATGCTGCATAAAAATCAGCTGGACTTAGTTGGTGCTGTCACAGATTGACAGGAGGTGCTGTGTTCAGCAGAGTTACTTCAGCACGTTGCACTAGTGCATCAGCAGGATAGGTAGATGGAAAAGAGATGGCTCACCGGTATTTCTGGGGAGGTATAGGTGGGCAATACTTCTCCTGTTTCTGCTTGCATACACTGATAGAGTGAAATAAGTTTCATTTTTCCCGTCATGAATTAATCACTCTCTTCTCCTGAGTAACCTTCCCAGGAATTAGCATTTACAGTAACTCCTCACTTAACGTTGTAGTTATGGTCCTGAAAAATGCGACTTTAAGTGAAACGATGTTAAGCTAATCCAGTTTCCCCATAAGAATGAATGTAAATGCGGGGGGTTAGGTTCCAGGGAGAGAGAGAGAGAGAATTTTTGCCATACAGTACAGTACTATAGTTGGGAGGTGCCCCTGCCTTACCCCACACAGGCATAGCCCACTGGCACTGGAGACAATGAGGCAGGCAAGGAGGCTGAAGGTGCTGTAGGCTAGGAGAAGCACGTCGCACAACAGCAGCGGCAGCTTCCCCTACTCTGCAAGCACCAGGGGCCGGGGACATAACTCTTGGCCCGCCCACTCCACCTCTTCCCCCAAGCCCCCACCCTTAACCCACCTCTTCTCCCCTCCCCCCTTTACTCTCCATGCGGCGTCCTCGCTCCTCCCCCCTCCCTCCCCTGACTCCTGCCCACGGGCAATCAGCTGGCTTGCGGTGTTCTGGAGGGAGGGGGGAGGAGCGAGGGCTCAGTGCGCAGGCTCCCCCTCCCTCCCCTGCTTCCGGAACGCTGCAAGCCAGCTGATTGCAGCAGGCAGGAGGCAGGGGATGGAGGGAGAGGCGTGCCGCATCCTTGCTCCTCCCACCTCCCTCCTGCCCACAGCAATCAGCTGGCATGCAATGTTTAGGGGACAGGAGGGTGGGGGGAGGAGTGAGGACTCTGCACAGCCTCCCCCCCTTCCTTCCCCTGCCTCCTGCCCATGGCAATCAGCTGGTTTGTGGCATTCGGGAGGCAGGGGAGAGAGGGGAAACTTGTGCGCTCGCTCCTCCCCGCTCCCTCCAGAACGCCACAAGCCAGCTGATTGCCACGGGCAGGAGGCGGGGGTAGGTGGGGGAAGGCGCTGATTCGCAGGGTCTGCCGGCGGGTGGGTGCCGCTGTAGGGAGGGTGGCGTAGGGGAGCTGATGTGGGGCTGCCAGCTGTGGACTAAGCAGGCAGCCAAACAACGTTATAGCGAAGCATTGCACAACTTTAAATGGAGCATGTTCTGTAATTTAGCAGGGATGTAAGATCGAAACAACATTAAGCGAGAGGACGTAAAGCGGGGAGTTACTGTACTCCAAGTAGATAGGACTACTTTTTAAACACCTGCTGTGTCTGTAGTCTGACGGATTCAATTATGAAGCTGTTCAGTTTTGGTGATAGCAATTTCTTCTTCGAGTGATTGCTCATGTATTCCACAATAGGTGTACGTGCTTGCCACATGCACCAGTGCCAGAAGTTTTCCCCCTAGCAGTACCCATGGGAGGGGGGCGCCCCGCGCGGCCCCTGGAGTGGTGCCTGCCTGGCACGGTATAAGGGGAGCTGCATGCTCCCCCCACCCTCAGTTCCTTCTTGCCGCCAGTGAAGGTGCGTTGGAACTGCTGTGCTCCTGCTTTGCTGTAGCTCGTCCCCAGAACTGTTCGTTCGTTCAGTGTTAGTACCTGTAGTTAGCTGTTTGTTTAGTTTAGTCAGTCAGTGAGCCCAGGCCGGGGCATGGTCCGCGCCCTGGGGTTTAAGTCGTGCAGCTCTTGTAGGTATTCAATGCCAAGAAGTGACCTGCCCGCAGACTGTTTGCGCTGCTTGGGAGAAACCCATATCAGCGAAAGGTGCCAGGTGGCCCGGGACAAGATTTGCAAGTTGTTTAAGCCTCGGACCTAAAGAGAAAGGGTCGAGGGAACGTTCCCGACCGATCACTGCCCAGCAATTGCTCGGGGCAGAGTCCAGGTGGATCGCCCACAACGCCAACTAGACTGTCTGGCTGGGTTCTGTCCGTCCGGGACTTGTGGCACTGCTCGTCCTCAAGGAGCGATTATCGGCTGGGACTGCAGCGGGCTTCACCATCAGTCCTCATCTTGGAGAGGGTACTGCAGTTGATCACGGCACAGTTGTTGATGCCGTCAACTCGGACTCCTGCTCCAAGTCTCCACCAAGACATCGCAGCCCTGGGCATCGATCGCCATTTTTTCGCTGTTGCGGGTCTGCCCCTCAAGGCCGTTCACAGAGCAGCTGTTACCGCCAGTACTGATCCTCCACGTCGAGATCGTGGTCCCGTGGTCGTCGTAGATCCCGGCACTGCCGCTCCTCCCAGTCCAGAGACAGCAGCAGATGGCCTCAATGTTCTATATGAACAGGCAAGGCGGGACCCGATCCTCTGCCCTCTGCTGCGAAGCCCTCAGGCTGTGGGACTTCTGTATAGCCCACGACATCCATCGGAAGGCCTTCTACCTACCGGGCACCCGGAATGAATTGGCGGATCACTTGAGCAGGGACTTTTCCTCGCAACACGAGTGATCCCTCCACTTGGAAGTGGCCCACTGGCTCTTCCAAAGGTGGGGAACTCCCCAGGTGGACCTGTTCACAACTCGGCAGAGCTGGCGATGCCCCCGGTTCTGCTCCGGGGGGGCCCGAGGAGGGGCGCTATCTCCGACGCCTTTCTCCTGTCCTATTCAGGCCGGCTTCTCTATGCCTTTCCCCTGTTCCTGCTAATCAGCAGGGTCCTGGAGAAGATAAAGACGGACAAGGCCTGGGTCCTCCTAATTGCCCCGGCTTGGAACGGGACCCTCACAGGCCTGGCGGTAGCTCCGCTGTGGCCATTGCCACTCCCCCCGGACCTGCTCTCTCAGGACCAGGGCTGCCTCCTCCACCCCAACCTGGCAGATCTTCATCTCGTGGCATGGCTGCTCAGTGGTTAGGTGGAGAGGAAAGGATGTGCCCAGACCAGGTTCAGCGTGTCCTCCTCGAAAGTAGATGGCCCTCCACTCACCACGCTTATTTGGTGAAGTGGTCCCGGTTTTCTAGGTGGGCGGTGGACCAGGGTGTCTCCCCCCAGTGACCGCCCCATCCAGCTTATCCTTGATTACCTCCTCCACCTGAGGGCCCAGGGCCTGGCATCCTTGTCAGTCAAGGTGCACCTGGCAGCCATATCAGTCTTCCATCTGTCGGTGCAAGGGCACACGGTATTTTCCCATGTTATGACTAGCCAGTTCCTTAAGGGTTTGTACCGTCTTTTTCCGTATTCTAGACCCCGGTCCCGCAGTGGGACTTAAACCTGGTGTTGGCTTGTCTCACGGGGCCCCCGTTTGAACCACTGGCCATGTGCTCCTGGTCTTGTCTCTCATGGAAGGTGGCCTTCCTGGTTGCAATCACGTCTGCCAAGCGAGTCTTGGAGCTCAGGGCCCTGAACTCCGAGCTGCCCGTACATGGTCTTTCATAAAGACAAGGTCCAGCTCTGCCCGCACCCCGTGTTCCTACTGAAGGTGGTCTCTGCCAGTCTCTGTCTCTGATATTTTTCTGCCAGTCCTCTGCCCCAAGCCTCATGCGTCCAGTGAGGAGCGCCGTCTCCACATGCTCAATGTGCGGCGGGCTCTGGCTTTCTACCTCGAGCAGACCAAGCCATTCAGAAAGTCCTCGTAACTGTTTGTCGCCTTGGCAGAGCGTGTCAGTTGGATCACTTCGTGCATCCGTTCCTGTTATGAGCTGGCGGGTGTCCCCCTGCCACCCATTGTGAGGGCACACTCAACTCGGGCGCAGGCCTCGTTGTCTGCCTTCGCGGCCTATGTCCCCATCCAGGACATTTGTAGGGCCGCCATGTGGTCTTCGGTTCACCCGATCACCTCGCACTATGCGATTGTCCCCCAAACCAGGGATGACGCCGGGTCCAGCAGGGCTGTCCTCCGTCCTGGGAACTTGTGAACTTCTACGCACCTCCAACAGATGTAGCTTGGAATCGTCTATTGTGGAATACACATGAGCAATCACTTGAAGAAAAGACAGTTACCTTTTCCGTAACTGGTGTTCTTTGAGATCATAGAATCATAGAATCTTAGAATATCAGGGTTGGAAGGGACCCCAGAAGGTCATCTAGTCCAACCCTCTGCTCAAAGCAGGACCAATTCCCAGTTAAATCATCCCAGCCAGGGCTTTGTCAAGCCTGACCTTAAAAACCTCTAAGGAAGGAGATTCTACCACCTCCCTAGGTAACGCATTCCAGTGTTTCACCACCCTCTTAGTGAAAAAGTTTTTCCTAATATCCAATCTAAACCTCCCCCACTGCAACTTGAGACCATTGCTCCTCGTTCTGTCATCTGCTACCATTGAGAACAGTCTAGAGCCATCCTCTTTGGAACCCCCTTTCAGGTAGTTGAAAGCAGCTATCAAATCCCCCCTCATTCTTCTCTTCTGCAGGCTAAACAATCCCAGCTCCCTCAGCCTCTCCTCATAACTCATGTGTTCCAGTCCCCTAATGATTTTTGTTGCCCTTCGCTGGACTCTCTCCAATTTATCCACATCCTTCTTGAAGTGTGGGGCCCAAAACTGGACACAGTACTCCAGATGAGGCCTCACCAATGTCGAATAGAGGGGAACGATCACGTCCCTCGATCTGCTCGCTATGCCCCTACTTATACATCCCAAAATGCCATTGGCCTTCTTGGCAACAAGGGCACACTGCTGACTCATATCCAGCTTCTCGTCCACTGTCACCCCTAGGTCCTTTTCCGCAGAACTGCTGCCTAGCCATTTGGTCCCTAGTCTGTAGCTGTGCATTGGGTTCTTCCGTCCTAAGTGCAGGACCCTGCACTTATCCTTATTGAACCTCATCAGATTTCTTTTGGCCCAATCCTCCAATTTGTCTAGGTCTTTCTGTATCCTATCCCTCCCCTCCAGCGTATCTACCACTCCTCCCAGTTTAGTATCATCCGCAAATTTGCTGAGAGTGCAATCCACACCATCCTCCAGATCATTTATGAAGATATTGAACAAAACCGGCCCCAGGACCAACCCTTGGGGTACTCCACTTGATACCGGCTGCCAACTAGATATGGAGCCATTGATCACTACCCGTTGAGCCCGACAATCTAGCCAGCTTTCTACCCACCTTGTAGTGCATTCATCCAGCCCATACTTCCTTAACTTGCTGACAAGAATACTGTGGGAGACCGTGTCAAAAGCTTTGCTAAAGTCAAGAAACAATACATCCACTGCTTTCCCTTCATCCACAGAACCAGTAATCTCATCATAAAAGGCGATTAGATTAGTCAGGCATGACCTTCCCTTGGTGAATCCATGCTGGCTGTTCCTGATCACTTTCCTCTCATGCAAGTGCTTCAGAATTGATTCTTTGAGGACCTGCTCCATGAGATGTGTTGCTCATGTCTGTTCCACATCCCACCCTCCTTCCCCTCTGTCAGAGTTGTCTGGCAAGAAGGAACTGGGGGGGGAGCATGCAGCTCCCCTTATACCGTGCCAGGCAGGCGCCTCTCCAGGGGGTTCTGGGGGGCGCTCCCCACTATGGGTACTGCTAGGGGAAAAATTTCCGGCACTGGTGCATGTGGCGGGCGAGCACGCACATCAATTGAGGTAAGACAGTTACCTTTTCCATAACTGGTGTTCTTCACGTCTATTCCACGAGTAACCTTCCATGGCTTGCAGTAACATTACACACCATGTTAGGTCTTTTTGTGATAGACATCATTATTTTCCATAGGAAAGAATGACATGAGGGGAACTAATATCCTTTGATGCTCTCTGTCAGAGACAGGGATGTGGGTGATTTTGACTGGTGGTTAGAGTAAGAGTGAGCCCTGGTGGCTACAGTAGGAGCCAGACATCAGTAATTGGAGCCATGGGCCAGAACCAGGTTACATGGAATGAGGAAAAACAGGGGCAGGGCTGTTTCCAAGCCAGAAGCTATCACAGTCATGGGCGAATGCTTTGAGCAGCCACCAAACTGCTGCTGCTGGGTGTAAGAACTAGTCTGTTGACTCTTATTGCCAATGAGGCAGCCTACCACAGGCCAGATCCGCTCCTCAGATTGCGTGGAGACTGGCTGTGCTGCAGGTTCTGATTCCTTACACCCTCTGCAATGCAGCTATGTTATATTTTGATAACGCCATGTCCATACCTGCCTCACCCTCACAACTGAAATACTATAAAGAATTGTGAGGCATAGTCCATAGGAGCCAAACCAAATAACTCACTTTTTTTTTTTTTGAACACCACTACTTCTTTTTCAAACTGTAGCACTATCTGTTCTGCTAGTTGACTTAGATGTCCACCCATGAGAGCAAGCTTTCTTCTTAAAACTGACTTAATGTGATGCAATGGCTGTACAGGTAGATTACTGTAGCTGGTGTGTGGCCACTCAGAAGAACATAAGACTATAAGAAACTTTAGGGATTGGAAAAGGCTCAGTGTCTGACCTTTTGTTTGATTTGAAGATTCCATCTGCTTGCCTTTGTCACCATGACTTCCAATCTCCTAAAAGGACAGAGGATGCTTTCTTCAATCTTACAAATGTAGGGCCCAATTGTGGTTTTCCAGCCACTGCTCCAACTTGTGGGTATGGAGGAGGAGCATTACCATTCCGAGGAGAGCAAGGGGAGAGCAGCTACGGTACCACTTTTTCCAAGGTGATAGCATGAGCTTCCTCCCTACAAGGTCAATTTTGCTGGCGAGTATGGAGGTGAGACAGGGTGGTGATTTGCTGGCCCTTCTGGGAAGCTAGTGGTATTGATAGTGTCCAGTCCCCACACACACCACCTTGAGTGCTCTCCCTTTTTGTGCCCCTCAATCAAGTCCATAGCCCAAAGTTTGAAGGGGAATTGAAGGAACAAGGAAAGAAGGAGGAAGACATAGTGACTTGAAGTGAGGAATGTAGTTCCCTTTTATTATTCTCTCATCCTCCTAACAGATTTTATTCTACGTATGTTGGTAGGTAACTCGTATCACTTTTATATCCCTTGGATTTTGTCTTGAGATATTTTCTTCTATTTTATTACCAGTTCAAGAGAGTTATCTGTGATGTATTGTAATGCAGATTAAAACCTGTACATTCTGTTACAGAAATAGAGACTTTTAATAAAAGTGTTGCCAGACACCTTGTACCATTTCACAATCAAACTTGCAACAGATATGGAGAAATGAAATATGAACTATACCTTTTAGTCAGGCACACTGAAATTTAAAAAATGGATTGTGTTCTTTATATGAGATGTTCAGTGAGGTTTCATGTTTATAGGCTTCATGATCTACTTAGAAAACGTGCAGCATGGCTGCCACTTAAACACACAGTTGCAAATCCAGATTAAATTCTGTAGTCAAGCTTTTATTCTACATCCGTTCTTAATTGAAAGTGAATTTCCTACTTATAATGTTGCTTATGAAACTCTCAAAGGGTTTTTTTTAAATGCACAGCATCAGTCTAAACTTTCAATTTATTTTAAAATAGGACCTGCTTAAGAAATGCTACTCTGCCAAGGCCTCCTACCTGTTCCAGCAGGACAAGTTCTATGATGTCAGCTACGACACAGGAGACAAGTCTATCCAGTGTAGCAGACGACCAGATGCATTTAAGTTCTGGATGACATGGAAGGCATTGGGAACTACAGGACTTGAGGAAAGAGTAAACCGAGCCCTTGCCTTAGCTAGGTACCTGATCTCAAATTTGAATGTTTTTTTATTTTAATTGACTGAAGCTTCCAGAACAATGTTGCAGCGCACTGTCTATCCCAGGGGTGGGCAAACTTTTTGGCCTGAGAGTCACATTGTGTTTCTGAAATTGTATGGAGGGCTGGTTTGGGGAGGCTGTGCCTCCCCAAACAGCCAGGCATGGCCCGGCCCCTGCCCCCATCTGACCTCCCTGCTTCTTGCCCCCTGACAGCCCATCCACCCCCCCCCCGACCCTAACTGCCCTGTGCCCCTAACTGCCCCCCACCACCCCATGCAACCCCCCTGTCCCCTGACCGCCCCCCGCCGCCCCATCCAACCCCTCCTCTCCTTCCTGACTGCCTCCCCAGGACCCCTGCCCCCATTCAACCCCTGTTCCCCGCCCTCTGACCGCCACGACCCCTATCCATGCCCCTGACCGCCCCCCGAACTCCCCTGCCCTCTATCCAATCCCCCACTACACCCTGCCTCCTTACTGCGCTGCCTGGAGCACCGGTGACTGGCAGTGCAGCTGCACCAAGAGAGGCAGCTGTGCCCTGCAGCACAGAGCACCGGGTCAGGCCGGGCTCTGCAGCCCCGCTGCCCAGAGCATTGCACCGTGCAATGGCATGGCTGTGGAGGAGGGAGGACAGCCTCCCAGGCCAGGAGCTCAGGGGCCGGGCAAGACGGTCCCGCAGGCCGGATGTGGCCGCGGGCTGTAGTTTACCCACCTCTGGTCTATCCTGAAACCACTTAAACCTTTGTAACTTTAAAATCTTCTAATAATTGATAAATTAGGGATAAAATAAAGTTCAGGGCCCAAATTAAAGGGAAACCATCAATCTGTATTAGGCCTAATGGTGGTGATCTGGAAACTGATGTGGTCCAGTGAAGAACACCCTTTTTATTTCAGATATCTAATTTAGAATCAGCGCTGCTGTTTTTCATTAATACCAAAACACATTGGGCCAGATTCTGTGCTGTATCCAGCTGGAGGTGAATTTACCATTCTCCTCCTGCCTTCTTTCATGCTCCATGCCATAGACAGTGTATGCTGGGGAAATTCCCTGGGGCCACTGCAGCCCCTTTATGGCTCTTTTATGCCACCAAATTGGGGGTGGCATCTGTAGGGAGAGTGGGTTTTCCTCCCCTTCCCCTACAACTCCCTGGTGCAGACAAGGTTTTAATATGTAGAGTGCCATCGTTTTTAAAGTGTGTTAGCATCTGTGGCTTCGCTCCTTGCAGCAGCCAAGAAATCCCACCACTCTAGCATTTGCAAGTGCTTCCAAGAGGCATTTGAAATTAATGCTTTGTTTTTAAAATATGTTTGAGCATGAGCCATAATGTTCTTGAAAGTCAGGTGCAGAACCTGGATTTAAAAATTAAGGTTGGGATTACCATAGTGGATCTCACAAGTGCTTCATCAAGTCCATACTCCATTGGTGGCCTGTATCTTGTGCCTCAGAAGAACATGCAAGAAACCGTACAGCAGGATCTTATAGAATACCTGGTCCACAGGAAATTTTTCTTTCTAAGCCCCATTAATTAGAGGTTGGCTTCTTCCCTGAAGCATTCCTGCAAAACCTCTCTACTAGTGTATCTTTGTATGTTCTTGTTATCCTTATAAATTTTCAATCCTTTTTTATTTTTGAACCATGCTAAGTTCTTGACCTCTGTCTTGTATCAGTAAGTTCCATAAACTCATTGTGCACTGTGTAAAATTCTCCCTCAATGAGCACTTCCAAGATGGTGTTGCCAGAGGCTCTAGGAAGAGAATTATTTATATGGGTTATTTTGCATGGACACTGATCTTTTAAAATAATGTCCTTTTTTTTTTTTCTTGTTCTTTTTGTACAGCACAGGGTCCTAGCACAGGGTTCTGATCCATGACGGGGGCTCCTTGGCTTCAAAATACAAATAATAAATATAAATAATAATACTTATCAGACCTATGTTAATATTTTATTTTTAATTTGATGCCAAATACCATGTCAGAGAGAGTAATACCCTAGCGTTTACAATGGTGCAAGTTAAAGGGACAGTTCCTCTTCCACACTTCCATATAAAGACAAAGCTAAAGCATTAATTGCCTAAAAATATGTGTATTATACAGAAAAAAGGTGGCGCTAGATGGAAGTCATTGAAAACTAAATCTACTGTCGTGATTCTGCTGCTTAAATGTCCCTAGAGTCTTCTGAGTAAATTGCAGTCTTGTGTGCACTTCAGGGCCCTCTGTTAATATATGTATACAGAGCGCGTCAGTTCCTTCTGCTATCAGTAGAAGGATTCAGCCACATCAAGGTTACCGGCACAGGTCATCTGACTGAGAATGTACAGATTAATGGTGGGATCAATACCTTCTTTGATAGTTAGGATTTAGCTGGTGGTGTTTCTAAGTGACAGTGTGGGGGTTTTTTGTTTTGTTTTTAATGAAATTGCCTTAATCAGATAACAGCTACCAGTGATATTCTGTACGGTAGCTGCTTTGCTATCTTGATTTTGCATGGGCACGGGCACTTGGGAGCTGAGACATCTGTTTCCCTGGGCACTAAAACAGATTTCATAACTACACGACTAACTGTGCAGCCTTTTTCTTGCTATGTTACAGTAGGGTTTACTTTGATGCTGTAGAGATGATATTTTAGCGTTCCTGAATATGACCTGGAGCTAGTCCATTGACCTTACAATTTGAAGGTGAGAATTTTTCCACTGCCAGGCAGAGTTGCAAAGGTTTTAATCTGATTGCAATTCTGTGCTCCCTTTGCATCAAACTCTGCCCATTGGCCGTTGCATTGATTTCTTCCTTTTTTTTTTTTTTAAAAGAGGTGAATCGTGTTTTCATAGCATTCATTTAGATCAAATCAGAGTGCTCCTAAGCTATTTACTTGAAAGGACTTATTTTTAAAGTACTTATGACAGAGTGCTCAGCTGATCACTTCGGAGATTATTTTCTTTACATTTAGTCCTGGTGGCAAATAATTAGATTCCCTTATTGCTTTGTGGAATAAGCTGCATTTTAGAATATGTCACAAGATTGCAATCACATCTGGATGTTGTGTTAGACCATCATCTCCACAGTTCGTATCACTTCTGTCTGATTCCTTTTCTAAAGGCACCCCTCCTCCTGAAACCTAGCTTCATTCACTACTGGATCCCCCTCATTTTCTGCAGTGTTAATAATTTAAAATACTTCTTGTTTTTTCTGCTCTGTTATGAAGTTGTTGTACTAGGACTCCGCCCCTTCTGTGATTCCACAGTCCAGGGATAATAAAAATACAGTTCCACTGTCAATGATGGAAAGATGTACACCACTGGTGCCAAATGGACCAGACATTAGAAATCGAGAGTGATGGATTTTCTAGTGGCTCCATTTTTTGGCTGTGAACAGTGGTCAGAGAAACATCAGATGTCAGCGACACACCACTTTTAACCTTGTTTCAGTGGGTGATTTAAAAAAAAAAAAAAGACAAAATGCTAGCCATGGGGGGGGGAGAGCTATTCTATAATGCAAACTGTCTTGCTAACACTATTTTAAAATTGCTAACCTCTTTCAAAAACAAGGTGATCTCATTTTAGGTCATCCAAAAACGAGGACTGGTGTTGTGTTTTCGTGTAAAGTTTTGTTTTAAATGAATGAGGGAACACTGGCTATTCCAGTCCAGGACCTCTTCTGAGCAGATTGTTTGTTGTGCTCGGTGCTGTAGTTTTATGATATGGACAAATGTCATCTAGCCAGTAGTCACGGTCACCAAACTTGTTTCACTTAAGTCCACAAAAATATCTCCTCCAGAGGCATGGTGGGTCTTTGCCCAGTTTGCTAACGAGCCCATAATAAAATCAGTCTAATCCTTGGTGCAATAATGATAAAGCATCTTTCTTTCTTCTGTGCTTCGGTTTGTCAAACTGAACAGTACTGTGGCTGATCATGGTGACCAGGTGGCAACATAACTGCTGATCTAAATGGACTTTGAAAAAGAGATTCAGTGCTGGCTTCATTTTGATAAGACGGGTGGAAGGATCTCAGCAGCATGCAGTTAGATACAGCATTCAGAGCTGACATCAGCACATCGGGTTATATGGATATACACTAAGGGTAATGAGTCACATGCACAAGTCTGGTTAACCACAAACAACACGGCAACTCCCCATGCTCTGCTTTGAAAAATGTATGCTCTCTAAGGTATTCTTTATTGAGCCCCTGGATAAACAATCTCTGCAGGATCTCAGTTGAAGTGCCAGACTGTGACAATGAAACTGTGCTGGTGGTGCCCATATTGGGACTTTCCTCTGGCAGGTACACAGGGCCCAAAGTTGGTGTTCTGACAGATTTCTTCCTCCTCCCTCTATTTGTGCTCACTGTATGTGGCGATAACCAGTAAAAGCAGTTATAAGCAGAAAAATGCCTAAGTATCGCAACAAACGGGCAGATTTATTGAAATATTCCCAGACCCTGGCCAGAATCCTGGCAAAAGGACTTTTATGGGGTCTGATCATGCTGACTGCACACACAGACTCATGCTGGCATTACGAATTTGCAGTTGCTGACAGAACAAACCGGAGATAAAGTACATTCAATAAATGCAGATAGCTAGATGTATGGAATATTGCTGTGTGTGGAATGGGACACAGCGATTAACAACAATACAGTGACATGGGAACAATGTTCTCCAAACTCCAGGCCAGTGTCCTGGAGCCACTGTAGTTAAAGAAGACAGTTAGAAGTATGCAACCACTCCATTCACAGCAGGGGCCGCACAAAACCCCTTACCTAGTGCCTTTACTCAGGCTATGGCTGCGCTAGAGAGCTTACACCGATGCAGTAGTGCCGCTGTAAGCTCTCTCGTGTAGCTGTTCTAAGCTGATGGAAGCGCTCTCTCCCGTCAGCTGCATTAATCCACCCCCAATGAGTGGCCACATCTGTGTCGGCGGAAGAAGCTCTCCCGCGTCATAGTGCTGTCAATGCCGGTGCCTAAGTCGGTGTAGCTTATGTCGCTCGGGGGGAGGATGGCTTATTCACACCCCTGAGGGACATACGTTATGCCAACATAATTGATAGTGTAGACTTAGCCTCAGAAGCAATTAAATAGGCCTGACAAGGATTTGGCTGCAACCTTTGCAGCTGGGGCTGTGCATGCAAATGTCACATGTCATTACTTTGTGTGAATATGGCAACATATAATGACCATAGAACCCAGTTTATCCGAGCCTCCATTATGTGGCGGCTCTTATTAACAGAACCACCCGCGCGCACACAGCATCATGGGAAATTGACATCACCTCCATGGTAGTGTTAGCATGCCATGTTTTCAGTCTTGTAAAACGATTGACGCTACTAAGCAAAAACGTGTAGTACTGGCATTGGATGCTAAATTAGAGATTATTAAAATTTTAAAAAGGAGTCACTAGCAAAAATAGCCCAAAATTATAGCATTGGGAGAAGCATAGTATTGGACATCGAAAACACAATGCAGAGCAAATTCTTAAATATTGCATGAATAACTCAATAACTCTGCACACTAGAAGACCATGAAGAAACTGAATGATGCTGGTCTAGATGAAGCCCTTTATCTGTAGTTTATACCAGCAAAAGAGAGAGGCGTTCTTATTAGTGGTCCTTCACTATGTGAGAAGGCTTAAGGCTTTCATCAAGGTTTCGAAGGGGACCCATGTTTCTGTGCTAGTTAGGGATGGTTCAGTCAGTTTAAAAAGCGTCATGACATCCGACAACTAAGTTTTTTAAAACTTTTGTTCCAAGCATGTGAGCTCATTTGAACAAACACCATTGAAAGCTGTCTTACTGCTGGACAATGCAACCACTCACTCTGATGGCTCACCTTCCAAGGTGACTCAAACTTCTGGGTTTTTTTCTCCCTCCAAATGTAACCTCTCTTGTGCAGCCTATGGACCAAGGTGTCCTAGAAAGTCTAAAACAGCGCTATCAACGGGATCTTCTTAATCGACTACTGATGTCTGATGAAGCAGCTAAGAACAAAGGAAATATGTTGCAGCGCTGGAAAAAAAAATGTATTAAGGAAGCTGTATACGGGGTTGCAGAAGCATGGGAAGACATCTCCAGGTCAACCTTACAAAAATTGTAGAAAAATCTGTGGCCTGAAGTTATTGCTGACATTCAGAACAGTGACCTTGCAGCTGCAACAACAGCACTGGCAGCTGAAGAAGAGACCAGTGCATTTGTGGATCTTCTCCACAGACTTCCTGGCTGCACAGAAGTCGACAAAGATGATATTGCAGATTGGCTTGAAAATGATACTAACTACCTTGGCCATCCCTTATTGGATGATGCCAAAATCATACGGACTGTACTACATGCTGACAGCGACTGTGTATCTGAAGAGTCTGCTGAGGAAGGATTGATGGAAAAAAATTCTCACTGCGATGCTGCAATAGCAGGAAACCTCTTCCTTCAGTACTTAGAGCAACAGCCTGATACCGACCCCTCTGAACTGCTGATGATGAAGCAACTCCATGACCACACAATGAAGAAGAGAACCTCTCATCTAAAACAACACAAACTGTCAGATTTTTTTCTAGCCATTATAAATGTGAGTGCTGCTGTACCTACCATTGTGCTATGTACTGTACTTTCTGCATATTATATGTTGTTGTTACCATTAGTATTGCTGTTGTTGCAACTTAAAATTATCATTTCTGCATTTTAAAAAACTGGTACTCTTTTCTAGAATTAATGTTTGTGTACGCTGTAAATAAGGAAGGGGGAGTCTGTTTTAATGCTTTGTGATTATCATTTCTGCATTTTTTTTAAATTGTACTCTTTGTGATATGTGTACATAAGCTAAATAGAGATGGTAACTTGTGTAACATTAAACAGACTTTGTAGACCAATGTTTATCAAGCTAGTGGTCACAGGACGGGTTTAGGGGGTTGCAAGTATAGAGCCAATATTAGGGGGTGGCAAGCAAGGCAATTGCTTGGGACCTCATGCCACAGCAGGCCCTGGGAAGCTAAGTTACATGCTTCAGCCCCAGGCGCGGGGTTCCAGCTGTCAGCAGCGGGCGGTGAGGTGCGGGGGTCGGGCTGTCAGTTGTAATTTAAAATCTGATCCCAGCCTGTAATAATTCAATAGTTAAAATTTTCTAGAAGTGATGTCTTAGGCAAGACCTGACTCAAGTGGTCTAGGGGAAAAAAGGTTTTAAATGTCCTAACCATTTCCTAATCCTGCAGGGTTGCTCCTCCTAACTTCAGAAAATCAAGTACTGGGTGACTTGATCACACACTTCCACTCCTTATTACAGTTATACTGATCGAGTTAGGGCACAGAAACAATACCATGTGGCTAAGGTGACTACTTGCACAGCAGTAAAAGTGAATAACAAATACAGGCAGTGAACAACTTTCAAAGAGCTCATAGGCAAAAAAATTTCAGCCTCAATAGTTTGAACAATTATGAATAACAAATGAAACTCTGAACAATTCACAAACAGGAAAAAAAAAAAGGCAAAATGTGGACAAATTGTTACAATGAATAGTTTGACTATCTCTACTCTTGGTGCATTACTTCTAGAGCCAGTCGGAAAAACTTTGATGGAACCATATTGCATTGGAATATGTAGTTCTGTTGAACTTCAAACATGTCGCAAAATCAGGTTGATTTTATCACTGTTTCGTTTCAGAAGAAAAATGTGGAAAAAAGTTCCAACAATAGTGAGATGTCCCATTTCACATTTTTGGAACAAAATGTTTAGATTTTTTGTTTTGAAATGACCTTGTTTTAATTTTTTTAAAATGTTATAATATAATACAAAATAGCCAATATTTCAAAGTTTCGATTCCATCAAAATGAAATGTTTTCATGGACCCCAAACAGTTTTTTTTTGAGTTTTCCTTTGTGGAGAATTATAAAATTTTCAGTTTTCATTATGATTTGGAACAAAGCCAAACTTTGAAATCCTTTGCAAAATGGAACCTGCATCTTCCACACACAGCTCTAATTACTACCTTTATGACTAGAGATGGAACTGAGCTGCAAACTTTGGATCCACACCCAAAGTCTTCTGACAATCAGATGGGGTGAAATCCACCCTTTTTGATTTAGAATTCTGTGGAGATTTGTGCCTGCTGTATGTTTGGGTCAAGATCCAAATATTTTTGTAATTTGAGGGGTTTTGGATCCAGGATTTTGGTTCAGATCAATTTTCGCTTATTACATTAGTGTGTTTCTGCTGCTAGTGAAAGAGAAAATTTTTCTTTTAGTGCACTGTTGGAGAATTCACAGGGATTATTGTGCATCAGTGATATATATTGTTGTGTAAAAGGGGAATTGTGAGGATACCGGGGGGTTGCTGAGAGAGAGAGAGCGAGAGGCCCCATGCACTGGGGCATGCTGCTGAAGAATAGGAGAGAGTAAGAGAACTGGGGGCAGTGGCAGGACTGAGAGAAATGTCAGAAGTAGGCAGTGAAGTGAAATGAGATGACAGCACAGAGCTTTCAGCTGTGGAACAGAAAGTGAGTTATTAATGGAGAACAACTCAGGCGTGGTCTATACTAGCAACTTGCGTTAGTATAATTATGTTGTTCTGGGGTGTGGAAAATCCGTACTCCTGAGCAACGCAGTTATAGTGACCTAACTCCCAGGGTAGACAGCACTATGTCGATGGGAGAGCTTCTGCCGTTGACAAAGCTACTGCCTCTCGGGGTGGTGGAGTACCTACACTGTCGATGTAGATCGTGACTCCACTAAGTGCTACAGCGGCGCAGCTGCATCAGTGTAGCTACATTGCTGCAGCATTTTAAGTGTAAACAAGCCCTTCAATGTTGGAAAAAGTTGCTACATTGGTGGATCAGTGCAGCTCACAATTCTAATACAGGTAAGCCCTATTTCTGCTCCCCCTGAAAGTGGGCAGCATTTGGTCTACACCATCACTCACCACTTGGCTCCAGTCTTTACTTGTTTTCGGGAGCTGGTTATCCCATTAACTGTTGTATTTTTACAGCAGATAGAAACTATTTTTAAGCTCTGCTATTAAGAAATCTAGACTTGTTCAAGACAATTTTTGCTACCTGCATATCCTGTATTTCTGTTACACCTTGTAACATTGTGTGTTTACTTACAGATATCTAGTAGATGAAATTAAGAAAAGAGAAGGATTCCAGCTTCTGTTGGAGGTACGTGACTATAGAACTGAGTTTGTGTTTTTGTCAAATGTCAGTCTGTATTTTGGGTGCATATTTAAATAAACTTTGTAAATTGCTGATGCACAGAAGTGTTAAACCACATCATATTGTCCATATTTCACATAGTCTGTTCATTTCCCTTGCTTCTGGGGTTGTGTAGGCATTGGGACGTATGGCTTGAGTAGTCCCCTTGTATGGCAATTGGTAGGGTTGCAAAAGGATCACCCATCCTAGAGCTATGGCTAAGAACTAGAGCTGGTTGGAATTTTTCAGTTAAAACTTTTGTCCTGAAAGTGGACTCTTCTTCATTTAACCCCCCACCCTGTGCACCATTTCCCCTGCACTCCCAAATTTCCAGGGCAGAACAACTGGCACTTTTCAACCAGCTCTACTGATAACTTCTTTTTCCCTTCCAATTTACTCCATGGCAAAGTAAATTGATGAAGATCCTGTTTGCAGAGAATGTGCTGAGTAGCAGGAGTCTCGGCTCCTGCCCCTGCTCAGCTCTTTGGCCAATGAGATCAGCACCTGGGGACATCGACGAGGGGAGTCTATTTAGAGGAAGTGTGTGTGTGTGTGTGTAAGTGAAAGGCAGCAATGGGAGAAGGAGCAGAGTAGGCAGGAAGATGGAGAATAACAGGATGGCAGAGGCATAGGGGGAGAAAAAAGGGACAGGAGGAGGAAGGGAGCAGCAGACCGATGCAGAGCAACGGGGTGGAAAGAGAAGTTAAAAAAAAAACAAAACAGAAGCGAATTGTTTAAAATTGAAATGTGGGTTTATATTTGTGCTGCTTTTTTGCTGATTATCCAGTAACTATCATGGTTGGAGTGGAAGTGGAAAGAAATTGTAAACAAATTTTTCCCAGTAAACTTCTGCTTATTTGGAAAGAGCACAAAGGTGCGGGCGGGGGAGGATTATCCTGGGTAATAAGGTTTTTTGGCTTGTCTCAAGCCTGTTTGAGTGGCAAGGTGTTCTACCAGTTCTTCTGGACTACAAATTCCAGGAATTGTAAACAACTTGGCAGCAATGTGTGCTGGGAAAGGGAAGGCAGGGATGTAAAAGAGCTCAGGGAAGAGGTCCGATCTGATGTGGGTGGGGTCCTCTACAGAGTGAAAAACCTGGAGAGAGCAGCCATAGCTGCTGGTGAGCCTCTCCAGTGCCGGGGTGCAGGAGTATGGGTGGGACTTGCAGAAAGTAGCCAAGGAGGGGCTGTGGGAAGGAGGAGCGGATGGGAAGAGGCCTGCAGAAGAATAAGAACCCTAAGGAGGAGTAAGCTGCCCATTTGGGAAAAGGCTGCCAGTGACCCAGAAGTGTCAGTCCTGCACCAAGGGTGAAGGTTTTAGGTTTGTGCAAGGAAGCCCATGAAGGAAACTACCTGGGGCAAAAGAGCCTGATGGCGGGATTGGGCAATTGCTTATTGTTTAGAGGCCCCAGGCTGGGACTTCTAGAGAAGGTGGGAGAAAAGCTTTGCCCTCACTCGCTGCATGAAGGGATAAGATAGTTCAGGCCCTGAGGAAGGGACTGGAAGCTATGTGAAAAATGGCTAAGTGGAGCCAGTTTTTCTTGGACTTCTGTTGACTCTGGAAAAGGTAAGAGTTTTTCCTCACATAGTCAGAGGGTTAACCTACCCAGTGACTGAAGGGAAACTGAGTCACGGCTGCATCTGATGAAGGGAAGGTAAGCCACGGACTGCGTGCACCCTCTGCCCTGAAACAGAATTGAGATTAAAACCCCATATTAGTCAGCTAGAGCTTCAGTTCATGAGGAAACTACTATATGTCCAGGGCTTGATCCATTCCTATTAGAGAAATCTGAGACTTTTAGAGCTGAACTTAATTTCATTCTTTGGCAGCAGGTGGCAAGTCTGCTGATCTCGTCCTGCTGATAATGATATTCTCCTTGCTGATCAAATAATGTATTAAATGCAGTTTAAAGTGAGGCAGCAACTATAAATAGTTCCCAGTGCCCTTTCATGAAAGAATTTGGCATGGTCTAGGTAGTCTCCACGTGCTTTGGAGGAGGTCTGGAACTACCAGCAGCGTTTGCACTGGGGCAAAATGATGGTGTGATCTAGCTATCTTCTTCCCTATTTCAATATTTGTTCCTTCTTTTTCAGCCAGCATCAGTGAGAACTGTGGGTATAGTAGGGTTTAGTAGTGGGGAGGTATGTTCTAATCCTCTCCATCCTTTGCCCCCCCTCAAGTAGAGCACTGAATTGCAAAGACATGACAGGTCACTGTTAAGGAGGTGGAGTTTTTTGGGGAAGTTTAAACAGAACTGGGATGCATTAACTGTTTCTCTGGATGGTACTATGTGTCCTTCATTTGTCCCAGAAGAGACTGAGCTGAATCTGTAGGGGCCTATTGGGAAAATTTGTGAATCCTACACGCAGAAGCCTCATAAATATGAAGTGTCCTAATTTTAACCAACTGTGAATGGTCATTGTTGATGTTGGGAGACTCGCAGCAAGCTCTGAATTGAGCATAAAACCTAAGAGAGATACTTGGGAGCGGGGTGGAGAAGTAGAGTCTTCCTTTGTTCCACAGTCACGTTCAGAAATTTTGAGAGACTGTCTCCTGGGCAGGACTTGTACATCACCTCAAGGAGTTTGGGACTCTTATTAAACGCATGGAATTCTGGCATCAGGTCCATCATTATACCGTATGAGTACCAGGCGGTCAAAAAAATTGCCATTACAAGGGTTTTTTAAATGGTTTTCTGAAACCAAATTTTTCTGATTTTTTTTTGTGCATTATTATTGAAATAATGCAAAATTATTGAAATTTTGATGAAATTGATGAAATTTCAATTTTTTTACTTGAAATTAAAAATTAAGGAAAAATCGAAATTTAAGTTTTAATTTTGAAATTTTGCTAAAATGCCCACCTTCTCTCTGCTTCCCTTCCCTCCTCCTTTTTTCCACTGGAAAAGGAAGGGGTGTGTGTGTGTGTGTGTGTGTGTGTGTGTGTGTAAAACCTTGAAGACTCCCCGTCCGGGATGGGGAAAGCAGGGGTGGGTGTAGGCATTGTATAAGAGTAAAGGGGGTGAAAAAATATAAAAGTCAGCAGTTGCGGTTTTTTACTATGGCAACTAAACAAAAGCACCTTCAATCTGATGAGGTTTTTTTGATGAAACTTTCTAAAGCTCAAATGTTTTAGCTGAAAAATGTCACAGAAATATAATAGAACTTTTTGACCCGCTCTCGTGAATATGACGTGACATGAGAGAGAAATAAGCAATCATTTTTTCTCTTACTCAGCCAGAGTATGCGAACATTTGCTTTTGGTACATTCCATCAAGCTTAAGAAAAATGGAGGAAGGACCTGAGTTCTGGAAGAAGCTCCATCAGGTGAGTAGTACACATATGGCTTACTGGTTTATTATGATTATCCCTTCTGCCAGGGAAGAAGGAGAACTAGCTCCTGGATGTGCCCACCATTAACCCATCAATAGAATGTTATTTAATCCTTAAATAGATGTTAGTAGGATTTCTAAGTTTATTATGCTCTCTATTTAGACAAGGCTAATTAAGTTTCTTTCTTAATGTAACAAAAGCAGATATTACGCAAGTATTCAGTTTACTATCAAAACTGTTAGACGATGGAGTTGAGAGAAGAGGAACAGTATTGTCTGTATCTCTTGTCTAGACAGAGCATTCATTACCTATTTCATACACTTAACATTGTCCTTGGGACTTGTCTTGCATTATCAATGGATATTGTAAGGGAAGATGTGCTTAAGAATACATTTCTGATGTTAAGCAACCCATAAAAGGAAGTAGGACTAGAATGGAAAAAAAGTAATGGTGAGCCTTTTGGTAACTTTTGTCACTCTTATGGAAAATTACTAATATTTTGAAAATGTTCTAAATTCCTTGAGCAGAGTAAATTAACTAAAGAGGAGCCAACAGTTAAGATTAATTAGAAAAGTAATGGAAACTGGGATATCTGTGTATTCTTGACTAAGAAACTCTGCCACAAAGTGAGCCTAGCCGATTGTTGGTGGGTGGCTTGTTCTGCTTTTCCTTTTAACATGCATTAAACTAGGCAGTAGAATTTCAAGGTGGAATGAGGATATGTAAATCCTAGACACAGCTAGGAAATCTTTTCTGCAGAGCCCAGCTCTTCTCCCAATGGTGCTCACAACACAAAAAGACCCCCTTTGAATTAAAGCAGGATACTTCTGTCTTTTGGGATGAGATCTTCTCTCCTCCAAATATATTATTCTTTAAAAAAAAAGGAAGGAAAAAAAAAAGAAAAGAAGTATGACCTAACATTTTTACTAGCCCCATAAGCAAAAATGGGTCAGGTACTCAGCTGGTAAAAGTCAGCAGAGCTCCATTGACTGCAACAGAGCTATGCTGTTTTACATCAGCTGAGGATCTGGCCCATGGTCCCGGTGCCAAGAAGCTTATAAAGTACATTAGGTGCTCTATGGCCCCAAGCAGGGTGGGGGGGAAAAAAGAGAGGTTTCCATATTCCGTATCGCAAGACGCCGCTCATGTTGGGTCAGATCATGAGGACCCCTTAACGCAAGATGCTTCCTCTCCCCTCCATACACAACTGTCAATGGCCTATCACTGTAACAGTGCCTGTGCCCTCAGTGAGAAAGACTCTGAAAACGGGGCAGGGAGGAGCATAGAAGAGGGGAGGTGATGGCCCCCCACCTTTCTCTGTGCCCACTTGTGTAGAAGGGCTGGTGCACTAGGGAGGAGGGAAGGGGTAGAGATGGAATAGAGTGAGCACCTTAAGGCACACAGAGAATGCCTTCCTGAGTCTCCCCAGTGCTTCCCGTGGAGCAGTGCAGCTCCACGCACCACCTATCAGGGCTGTGGTGTAAATACCGCAACATATCCCATTCTGTTAGCTTTGTTAAGTTAGCTTTTATAAGGTTGGAACGGGACTGTGCATCCCAGTAGAAAGTAGGTTGTAAGAAAGGATTTGAAGGAAAGAAAGGGAGTTTCTGTACAAAGGAAGGGAAGAGTGTTTTCCTTCGCCTTCCCAATAATCCAGGGAGCAGCTCTGTGGTTATTTTATTTCTCCATCCCCAGCAATGGGGGGGGGGGGGGGGGGGGGCAAATGTGGGACACAAAGTGCAACAAAGATGCTCAATGAGAGAGAGAAGCAGAAAAGAATATAGCTGAAAGATTCGAACACCTGGGGGTTAATGTCTTTAACATCAGTATAATTTAGTTCCATGATTCATTGTTGATTTAAATAATTTACAATAATTAATCTAATAATTAATACTAAACTAATTAGTGAAAAGGTGGAAGAAAAGAGGGTAGTAAGGAGTGCAATCCTTGCCAAGAGGCTTAAGACCTAGATAGCTGAAGATTTAAGAGGCTTGTTGCATCATGTCATCATAATTCAGTGTGGGGATGTATACGATTTCCTTCTTAACTGCTGGCACTTCCTGAATATCTTCATTATTTCACTAAAACGAACATTAAAAAAAATTAATTTACAATATCTTTTCATACCATACTTAAACACAGTAAATTATTTCATTTAGACAAAGATCAGTCATCTACTTTTTTGATGATCTGCAAGTCTGTGAATAATTAAGTGAGGATGTATGTTAGAAATTCCTTGTGCAGGTCACTGATTTATTACACTGCATAATCAGCAATAGAACTCAGAATTATACATGATTTTCTAAGGTTATTTAAGTTTAGTGCTTGTGAAAGATGCTAAGCTAACAGCACTGGGACCATATACTCAGCCTTGCTAAGGGGACTTTGTGCCATTAGAGTGGTGCAAAGTAACCTTAAAGCTTACCTGCACGTTGGCTTTACTCCAGATTTCATGGTCCACGTGGTGCAGGGCATGAGTCAGGACTGGCTGAGGTCATGGCGTGATCTGATTATGATGTCACAGCTATTGTTGTCCTGCACAACCTGTTATCTCTCTCAAAGCATTTTTCCGTTTAATGCTTACTGTAAATTTGTACAGAATATAAAACTAGAATGCAGGCTCCTATAAATGCAAAAATCTGTGTGTGGGTGGAGGAGGGGGAATGGACTTGCTATACCACTAGAAGCAGATATGATACTGTCAACAGTAGATCTTCATCGGAGTATATACTGGGGCATTTTAAAGAGCAGAAGACAATGAAGGTGGAGGGGAAAAATAAGGTTGCCAGACATTAGTAATGTAGTGAAATGGGCTTTATTTGGAGCATTCAGCACTTTACCATAAAAGACTAAAATATTTTCAAGCTTACAGTAGCAACTAGGGGTCCCATTGAAAACCAGGGCCTCATTGTGCTAGGACCTGTACACATGCACAGTGTGAGAGAGTCATTGCTCTAAAGAGCTTATATCACCTAAAACGCCTCTTGAATTCCTGGCACACAGCACAAACTCCAGAGCAAAAATGGATTCAAACCAAATGCTTTAAAACAAGATTCTGAAAAAGTAAAAGAAGATGATAGGAGGGATTTCTTTCTTGGGCTTATAAAAAAAAAATAAGTGGCGTGTCCTGGTAAATGGGAAGCTTTTGTTACAATCAAATAGGAAATTAGTGTGGATCTCTGTATGCTTCTCACTGCAAAATAAAGGAAATTGCTTCTAACCTGGAATTGATGCAGCTCATTGGATAAAGTGACAAGCCTTGAATAGCTTTGTTAGTACCGTACATGCCCCCTGGTGGTTTTTTTCTGCTCATTCTTTTATGAATGCACTGTAAATAGGTATGATTTTAAAACAAAGGGAGCAAATGGAATATATAGAGCTAATTAAAGACATGATAAAGAAAGAAAACTGAAAACTGTGATGCTCCCTACCATATGGGAAGGGGAGGGAAAGGAAAGTGGAAATTTAAACCCAGCCCCCTCTACACTTCAAATGGTATCATTTCATAACTACAGGTATCCATGTGCATTTTTGTTCATAGAGGGGTCAGGTTCTGCACACACACACACACCCGCTCTGTTTGCAGGGCCCCAGCAGCACAGAGGAAGGAAACTGGTTCCATCACTGTAGCTGGGGATTACTGCTGCATGAGAGAATCCCCACAAGGCATTGAGATTGCATAGTTGGTTCCTGGTCATGCCACCCCTGCAGCCTCCTGTCCAGGGCCGTGTTGGGGTGGAGAAGGGGTTTGTCAGGGGTGCAGCTGGAGCATGTTGCTCTCCAGATCTCCTCTATTGACCAATGACATTGCCAGCTAGTATATTTTAGAGGAGATTGCAGGCTGGTCCAAACTCTGCTGGGCCTGGGACAAACATAAAACTAGCACCAAGAAAAGGTAGTAGTAACTTTCTTCTGGTTGATTCCCTATTCTACTGGCCCATTGGAATCTGTGCTCAGAAGAGGATATGGGCCATAATTTTGTGTGTTCATGTAGGATGAAAGTTATCCCAGTGCAGAGGACCAAAGGAACATACTAGACACCAGGTAAGCCCAGAAAGCCGGATTTAAGTGATGTAATTGACCATGTGGTGGGTCCTTTGCACTGGGGTGAATTTCATCTGTATTGTATTTCTGAACAATATATGTTCACGCATCATATTCCTGTCATGTCTGTATGGCTTCTATACACAATTATTTTAGTTCTGATACTGGCCTTTTAGTCTGAAAGTTTATTTGGATTTTGCCTTTTTGTGTTTGGATGCTGTCCTTTATAGGATTTTTTGGTCAAGTTTTACAAAAATTAGTTTGATTATATTTCAATGACCAGAAGGCAAAGCATTTTATGAGTGTAAGATACTTTTTCTGCACTCGTATGTAGCTGTGCTATAAAACCTAAACCTTGGTGTGTTATTTCCCCCTTTATCCAGACTAACTCCTTCCCACCCCTACCCACCTTTTGGAGAAAAACATGTTTCTGGTTAGCGGATAGCGAAGTTGGTAAAAGAGCCTATCACATGAGTAGTGTTCTGATACATTTATAGACTGAAAAGTTGTCTATCAATGCAGAAACGTAAGGGGGTTGAAATAGGGTTGCCTTGGCAACTTCCGAGTCTTGTAGTATTAATCAAATATAAATCAAGGGTCCAATTCTGCACACCCAAAATATCCATTGACTGCAATAGGAGTTTTGAGTGGGCAAGAAATACAAGACCTAGAATAGCCTGGATGACTAGTATTTGCCCCTTCATTATTTATCTTAGGACAGCAAAAAATTAATGGCACAGTTCACAGCTGCTACATTAAACAAGAGGGCCAAGTTTTTGCACAGCCAAATGGCCCCTTGGTATCACTGTGAGTTTTGTCTGCATATGGGATGCAGGATTTGGGCTCAGAGTTTCTCTTTTACCCCATCACTCTCTTTACATTACTTTACATTTCCCTTTTCCTCATTAAGAAATTTGACTTTAAAAATGTGTACTTCGGGAGAGTAGGTGTTGCAGTCCTGATTCTGTAAACTCTTGTTTACATGAGTAATTCTTAATCTCAGCAAAGTCTCATGGGCTGTAGAATCAGTCTGTGTGAGCCAAAGAGTCCTTATATAAGGACTCATCCAATTTCCATTAAAATAAATGGAGAGATTTGCTTTGAAATCCATGGGAGTGGGATTGGCCCGACAGTCATAGCTATGATGGATTGGGAGATGCTCTGTAATAATTTATTAATACTGTTTGTCGGGCTGTTTTCTGCATGACTATAATAACTTAATGCAACTGGAGAATGTCTTCAAAAACGGGCAGGTAAGGAAAGACTGGCTCAAGATAAGCCACCTTTTTGCTTGAGAATTGTTAAGGGACAATGCCAGGACTACTAGCTTTAAAGAGTATGTCTACACTTGAAGGGTAACATTGCCGGCGGTTACATTGCTGCTCAGACCTACTTCTCTGCAGCCAACTCTTCCCCTGTTCCTGGTACTGAGACTCACCAGACCTTGTATGCATTGCTGCTGTGCTTGTGCTTGTTCTTTTATAAACTCTTGTGGACGCTTCTGCTGCTCAGCCTTCCACGCAAGGAGGGACTGTCGTTCCACCTAGTAGGATGCCAGGAACAATTGCATAGCCTTCTGCATCTCCATTTGTTGCTCCACTAACCATAGTAGTGTCTGCTCCATCCCCCAAATGCTGTCTCTTTGCACCGCTTTCCCTATCTAGTCCTCTGTCACCACAGCTGAGGGAATCACAATCCTGGACAACCCCCCATGTGTAACAGGGGCCAGTCTCCACTCCTGTCCTCTTCCCGTAGAAACCACACAGGTTCCACCGGGTGTGCTCTCAGTGAAACTTTGTCAGTTTCTCTTCACCAGTATCACCACAGTCCCATGCCTATATACAATATTAGCCAAGCTTTAGGCCCTCTCAGCAGGACCTGAGGGCAGAGAGGTCTCCCCAGTCTGAGGCCCCTGAATGACTAGACTCAGCTAGCTCTGTTCCTCCCTCTTCTGACCCCCTCCACTTCCTTCCTGTGCCTGCTTTATCAGCCCTGGACTGATGGGTCCAACTGATGGGTCCACCAGCCTGATCAGATAATTACCCCCAATCAGCTTCTCCTGGGGCACTAATTAGCATCTAAGTGACCAGAGTGCAGGCTCCCCTAATCACTCCCTGCACTCTGTCACAGTCTTCGATTGTGGCAAAACCCATCATGGCCAAAATGGTCATGGAAGAGGGACCAGAAAGGAAGGAAAACAATTAGGGAGGATGGAGACACAGAGGAAATTAAAACACCAAGGTTGGGGAGAATGGCAGAAACAAAGTGAAAGACTGAACCCTCTAGGGCGGAGCTATAGCGTATAACAAGACTGGGACTTTTGTGGTGTGGGGGGGAGGGATAAACCACTGCAGAAGGCATTGCTTCCACTTGGCCTGGGCCTTCTAAATCTTCTATGCAGCCTTAGTAAAACCTCAAAAGGCCCAATTCATTCATACTTCCATTCCAGATGTTGAAAGGACACTTCCACAGCACATGAAATACTGTTTGCAGATTGATATATATATATATATTTTTTAAAAAGCATTGAATTAAAATAAACCCTCTGGATTTCAAAATATCTCAGTGTGAACAGCTTTTATGGGGGTGTTTCCTGGGAGAAAGAGGGTAAAGAGCCTTTTTTTTTTTTTTTTCTAAACTGAAGGACCATAGACTCCAAGGATGCTGGGGCTTGGTAGGGCTGGATTCTTCATTTCCCTGCACTTTGTGCCATTCCAAATTGTGTTGCCTGATGGGAAAGGCACCTCAAGCTGTGGACTGGCATTCTCCTGTGGCTGGCTTCTCTCTAAGGGCTTGTCTTCACGTACAGTGCAACAATGGGGCAGATGCATTGATGCAGCTGGGCCTCTAGTGAAGGCGCTGCTGCGCCGATGGGAGAGCTTCTCTTGTCAGCGTAGTTAATCCACCTCCTGTTGATATAGCGCTGTCTACGTGGGGGGTCAGGTCGGTATAACTACATTGCTAAGCGGTGTGGATTTTTCACACCCCTGAGCGATATAGTTATGCCAGGATAGGTCTGCAGTGTAGGCCTGGCCTAAATAAAAACAAAATAGTCTTTTGCATCAATTTGAAGTGGGTGCAGCATTTTACCAGGTCTGAACAATAGAATTTTGCCCTCCCTTTACTCACGGGTAGAAGTAAGGAAGAAGAAAATCTGTCTCCACGTCTGTCCCGGATAAGTGAGTTCTCAGACAGTCTTTGTCTCTTCGTATAGGAAATGAGGCCATGGTAGAAAGCCTGTGACACGCTTTTCTGAGCCATGATATCCTCCGTCAGTGTGTTTATGTTGACGAAGAGTTAGAAAGGTAGACTGTCTAAGCATTTTAATAAGGAAATAGTGGTTTTGATTCACCGGCTCAGTTACTCCATTGCTTTCAGTAGTTACAGTGGTGTAAAACTGGAGAGCCACAGTGGTAATCAGGCTCGGAGTATTAGGAGTTATTTGAGGAATGGAGAGAAAATAGTCACGAGCAGAATCTGCTGAAAAGAGGAACAAAGAAGAAATTGGCATG